AGCGAGGAAAACCGGACGACAGAATTTCCGATAGGGTGAGTATCTTAATTAATTAATATATCTTAATTGGTCCCATTCTTAATTGATTATATTATCATATTATACGTACGCATTCTCTGGCTTTCTAATAACAGGATTCATCTAGTTTTATAAATATACTCCAATCAGCAAATAACGTGAATGTATTAATAGTTGTCTCCAAATGCATTCTAGTTACACAATAAATTGAGCGCAGCCAGTCTTTTTTTCATTGCATGTGAAAGAAAAATAAACTGGAGGTACTTACGTAATTGCTAATTAATATGCTTTTTCTTACTGTTTAACTTGCTCGTAAAATAATACATAAATTGCATTTTCGTGTAGGTAAAATATTGGTTTGTTGTTTAAATCTGATATTTTACATTTAATTATCATTGTTTTTCAATCTATTTATTAATATTCAAATATTTTAACAATTGATGTTCATGTAATTATATAATCATTATCACAAAGTTGCGTTTAATAAAATAATACGATTATCAATAATATTGGATATTACTAGAAATATACTTTTGATAATTAATGCATAAATTGCATATTTATTATTGTCATAAAATTCGTGTTAAAATAGATTTGGAATGAATGTTCAAGAGTATTTACATAGTTATATTTGCATTTAGCTGCAATGCGAAAACGTGTTTAAAAAGAGAAAATTATACGACACGTGCAGAATGTTAAATGTATAGTCGGAAGTTAATACTGTCTGCATCTTCAATTATTCCGATTTTGTAATGAAGAAACAACATAAAGTGTACACAATTTCTCATCAGATGAAAGTTACTTTGTAAGCAACAATCGATTTCGGGCGTTTACAAGCAAAAATGCATTTCACGTTTGCGCTTATATCAAATTGAAGTCGTTTCCTTTAGTGCGCATAGTTGTAGCATCAATTTTATCAGCCTCGGGGAAACGAATAAAGGCTCCATGGAAATTCCCAGCGTGCATTATCTACAATATTTGTTTAGTAGGAAACAGGTACATTTAGTTTCTAATATGCAAATGCCTACATGCCTAAAGAAGATATCCTGTTACGCGCAATCAAATCTTGTGCTCGAGGAAAGCGCACGATGCGTATCTTTCCATGTTAACGAATTCATAGATTTGTTATAAATAATGTATATAAAACTGGAAATATTGACGATCCAAATGCTTCGAAGTGACAGTTTTCCATAATTCCATTATGTGGATGTTTGTTGGTCATTACGGAATTGCAGCGGAGACGATTACGTCGGAATATAATCGATAGGTTTGACGCGTCTCTCCGACTCTATCCCAATCCGCATTCAATGTTGGCTGGCTTTACGGATGCCGTCCACGTAGCATACAGTGAATGCGTTTCCTGCAATACCAAAAAGGCGCAGATACATGCTTCCGTCCACATCAACACATTATTCAGAAGTCAATGTCTCTCACTCTGCCACACAAATTCGAAGATTTTAATCCAAAATAACCTGAAGAGAGAGAAATGAAAGCTTTCGAACGAAGGAGGAGGCCTCTCAGATACGCGCACAACCTCTCTCTATAGATGGTATGAAATTCGCATAATTGCATCGACTGAGGAGGATGAAGTGGTGCTAGTTTTGCCTTATATATCGAAATGTCAATTTACAAACGGTTGACGTCAAGACACAATTGGAGGACGTCACAGGTAGAAGACTTATTAGGAAGGTGGTTTTACTATTTTCGTTTTCCTGAATGAATAACGAAGCCAGATAAAATGCATTCTCATCAACGGAATTGCATTAAATATAATATTTAATTTTAGACAATGATTATTAGTTTAATTAATACTACTTCTTTATTACACTTTTCTTACTTTCAAGTTTATTTCTTTAAAATAATCCAATACTATAATTATTAATGGCATGCAATCCCAATATAAGACCTTAATCAAGTGCACTTAATAATTAATTTTAATCCAGTTTTAGCTTCATTTGATTCGTTATTTAATTGTCCGAACTTAAAAAAATTTCGCGAGTGATATAAATCAATAAAATAATATACATTCTTTCGATGAATTATTATGCTTTTCTTACTATCAAGTTTTTTTTTAATAAAAATTAAAAATTTCGATATCTGATATTGCTTTTACAGAGCGCATGCGAATATCCTTATAGTAAATGAAAAAGTATGGTATATTGAGGATGAGAAGTTGCATTCACTGTACCTTCCGGAAAGTCGTTTCGAGTATTTTTGCTTTCCCGAAGGTTTCTGGACAAACAACAGCAAAAGCAGCAACAAAAAGCGCTTTTACATTCACCGTTGCTTTCACTTTCGGCTCAATATCTGCGAAGTTTTATGTTTTTTTTGTTGCTTTTGCATCTTGCAACAAAGAGACCGGCATTCGACTTGCACCGATAATGATGCATGGAATATGCAACGAAATGCATGCAAATTCGCATCAGGAAGAAAACGCGTCGTTTTCTAATAACCGGTTTCTGTCATATGCTTTATTATATTATCCACTTCTTTAATGATAACAACAAATAACAGTTGATTAGTCTGTAGAACATGTTAAATTTGTAATATTTTAATTACGTTGCTTCCTCTAAAGTAACACAATTAATATTTTTTTCCTGAGACCTATTCAAAATAAAGTGGTTCAATTATAAAATATCTCTACACGCACAAACTATACATTAACAATAATATATTACAATTTGTTTCTGAACAGTTGGCGCATGAAATCTCTGAAAAACTCGTTTCGATTTAACGTTGTGTTTTATTGGTTGTTTGAATGAATATTTGAGGTATTAATGAGTATTGTAAACTCGAAAAGTGTTTCTGTAATACGTGCTGCGTTGCTTGCATCGCAATGCAAAGCCAGTCACGGGTTTTGCAGCAATTTACATATGCAGATCTATTTATTAATTCGAATATATCACAATATCATGTCAGGTTTTAACATGAATAATGTCGATGATTATTGATTTTAAAAAAATCATTTTATTGTCGAATGGGTGAATGATGATCATTTACAATTGGATTCTCCCAATAATTAGATAAGACTACTATTATTGTTTCGCTAACTTTGCTCAATAGAAAATAGTAGAGATAACCTTTATCGTTTGACGAAATCAGGAACTAATTAATACCTGGTGATTAAAGCTCACGCCGTTTATTTTATTTACTATGTATATTTGTTTATGTACATTTGACGTACATGAAATTTACACAGAGCCTCAGCTCAAATCATTCATAAATTCTTGTCGTTTACTGTTAGACCGGGATTCGTTCGTATTCAATGCCGCTTATATGGAAATGATATAAATTCTTCTATGTAAGGCAACCATCCAATATAAATTATGAGCGAATATAATTGAAAGTAAACAAAAAAAATGGGTATGATATAGGTAAATTCCTGTTATGTTATCAAGGCTTTTCTATCTCATTTCATTTTATTGTTAATAACAAGTCGCTTTTGTTTCGTATAAATAAAAAGTAATTGCCATGGAGATTACAGTTTGTGTAACATCGCAAAGGCATAAGCGAGTATTTCTACATACAAAAGCACTATTTCCTTAGTTTTAATAACACAAAATGTTGCTTTGAGCTTCTTAAATTAATGTTATTTTCTTTGTAAATTTAAGATTACCAACTCTTCAACTTTAGCATGTTAAAAATAATTATTAATGAAAGATATATTAGCATGAGAAAAACTCGAATACAATCAGTAACAGATGGTGAAGATTTTTTTTTATTATTATTATTTATATACAATTTTTACAATATTTTTTATACATTTTTATTAGTATTTCCTTATGTGTATGCCCCTCAGCATGATTTTTGATAAACAAAAGAAAATAATTTGTCACGTATATTTCGCATTACGCTGCTTTTGTTTCGCGATTGCAAAAAAAACAAGTACGTCGTTGCGTCAAATAAATCAAAATATGCTCAGGTTCTAAATGCATGTAGTCATGATTTATGAATATTCCAACAATGTGCTTTAAGGTTTGTCAGCTTTGTATCTGCACTGACACCAATATTGTAATTCACTACAGTTAGATAACTTCTAATGAATATTGTATTTAGAAAAATGATATAATAAAAATTACAACGATTTTTGATAATATATATAATAAATTCATTCTCTAATTTTATAATACAGTGGAACCTCGCATAACGTGCATTTCGCTTAACGAGCAAAATAAATTGTAAGAAAAATCATGGAACGCATTATCGTATATTAGTTTATATGGGGAAAATTATTTTACGGTAATTTGGGAACGGATTATGCTCGTTAAGCGAGGTTCCATTGTATTTATAAATTTTATGTGTTAATAAATTAAATTAATTTTCAATGAAATAATAATATAAATAAATAAAAATTATTTAATTGGTATTCGATTCGAAAAAACAATGTATGAAAAATATTTTCTTTTATTAAAAAAGAAGAAAGCATGAAATAAAATGGATTTTGAGTTTTTTTTAATTATTTTATTAAAGAAGTTAAAAAATAATTGTTATTTTAAAGTTACTATAGAACTTATATAAAACTATAGAAAACTTATATAAAAGTCTATTAATTGGATTATTTGTATAAATTTATAAATGAATCTTTTTTTGTTCATTGAGTAAATTATATATTTATAGTTTTATTAATTAATGTTTGTGTTTATTTTTTAATGTATTTGTAATAATAATAACATTTATTGAAACAAATTACCAACAACAAACTCAACAAAATAACATAATAAGAAAAAACAAATTTATAAATAAAATTGGATTCAATTTTTGAAGAAAACTAATAATTACTTATAGAAGGAATCAGGTGTTTCTTTGTAATATATTTTGAATGATAGTAAAACTAATGAAATAAAACAGTTTATATAAATGCATTTCTTGTAACAATTGAAATCGCAATGAGATTCAGTAAATTCCGTATAGTTTTACCTGTATAGCGGTGTAAATAGGTGGAGGGGAGCTGAGCACGTACAGGTGTTTTCTATGTGTCCGAAACGAAATTTCCACATACACGGAGCCGACCGTTGTTCAGTTAGTTATTACGAGACCATCGAGACGACCGGATGGATTCCGATCGATCCATTGTACACGACAAGACCACTACATTCTAATTATCTCATACTATCCAATATTTCGAAAAAAATAAAAGGTGTCAACCATAAACACGTACCGTGGAGTAAATAAATAGCATGTGAATGTGACAGTGAACCGCACCAACTACAAAGCATACTCTTTAACTACTAAAAAAAATACAACGCAACAAAATAAAGCAAATCAACATGGAATATAATCGTATACCTGATAAGGTGTGTTCTTTCCTTATCGGCCTTTAATCTTCCGATGCGCGAAAACCGGGCTCCGGATTCAGTTGTGTTTAGTGCTTAGTACAAGACACTCTTGGACTCTTCATTTTACTTTTTTTCGTTTGTGTGTTTTTTTTGAGTGTGTATACGAACAACAGAATATAATGATCGTCGATCAGGTATTTATGCTAATACTAAACGCTTCTCTTCTAATCTTCCCCCGTAACTTTCATATTTCATTACACCCAAAAAACATACACCATACTTCCATTGTGTTCTCTTATGTAAATTAAATAATTTCGTGATGCAATTGCGGGGGCGTTCGTATATAACGTAATTGATTGATATACGAGATCGAGCACTTAGCGAACATAATCTGGCTTAATGTGATGGCAAAAAAATAACAGCACAAACAACTTTGAAATCCACTTTGTTTTTTTCGATTTACAGCTTCAATATTGTTCCTCTCACAAAAGGGGTACTTTAATTGTTGTTTATAAACATGAAACAAATATTTTTTTAGTTTAGAATGTTCTAATTATAGTGATTCGATCACGTTTCATTCTATTTGCAAAGTTAATTAAACTGTATTATCAGACAACGAAAACATGTAATTATTTTATAAGCAATAAAAACTCTTTAATTTAAAGCAATCACGTTACATTTTTTTTTATAAATAATGAAAAACTGGTTTAAAAACGTATTGTTTTTATGTAATAATAAAATGGAAATAAGTATTCAAAATTATTACACTTCAGAATTATGTCATTGCTACGGTTTATTTTTACATCAATGATTCAATTCGAGATTATCAATAATAAAAAAACGCGCTTACGAAACGCTCAAGAAAGTTTAGTTAAGTTTAATGAATCGAATTCAAATGAAATCCAATCGAATGTAATATTTAAAACGTGTTGTTTATTTGGACTTACATGTAAAAATATAAATTATTATAAATGCTCTTCATTAATATGGAAAATGATGATATTATGATGAAACGAATGTGAACAGGATATCGAGACGAAATCCGAACGTTTTTCGTGTCCAGATGGATTTCAAGGTTTCGAAATCTTCAATTATGTTTTGCATGCATATGAAACTCTAGTAATGCCGTGCCATACCTTGAAATTAATCTAGTCCAAGAATACCAAACGAAATGTAAACTTTTGCGAAACCGAATAGATATTACTTCGGTTATTTTTCGTTCGATATTCAATTACTTTTTGACAAGTACAAAATTAAATTTAAAAAAATAAATACATAAGAAAATTAGATAATCTCCTTTCGTTATTCGTCCTAATATATGACTATTAAATTACACAAAATATAGAAAACTATAGATATAAATATAATTATTATATGATTGACAGATATGTATGTATGATATAGGAAGTTAATAATTTGATTTGATTATTAATAAGTGCAAATTCGATTAATAAAGCTGCGATAGAAAATGATTGATGGAATTATTCCAGTAGGAAGATTCATTAATTTTAAATAGAAATTTGCTTGATAAATTGTATGAAAATGTTGGCAGAAAATCGTTGGTGGATGTCCAATTTCGCATGCAATCGCGCTGTAATATCGCACATATCTATTGAAATATTTTATGCATGCAGAAAAAAAACTGAAATATCCTAATACTGTTTTCTTTTGGATTTATGTCAATTCACTTATATTGTGTTATATATACTTAATAATAAAAATAATGTATATCTATAATTATACGAGTACTAAGAGAAGAGGGTTCATTGTGGAATTGGTACATTCTTATGGGAATGCGCAAAAGATATGAAACGGTCGAGTCAATTTCCAACAAATCACGAGAAACAAAGAAAATTTCTAATTGAATCCACACGACCTAATGGATTTTGAAAGTCCGCGCAATCATCGATTCCAGCACCGTCCAATAAGCCCGAAATTGGTTTTAAATTAGCATTTAATCTACGTGGCGTTAAAAACCCAATATCAGACAGAAAACCAACGAGAGAAAGAAATGTTAATAAAAAACAACAACTTAAACAGACATACCCATAAAATTTGTTCGAGGATTTTCACTTTTCTACGTGTTTATTGGAAACGTGCTAGAAACTTATTAAATTAATATAGAAAACAATATACTGCCTATGATTTACAGATCATGAAATGTTTATTAGCAAAAAGTAATTATTTGTTAAATTATCTTTTGGTATTTTAATTTAAATACTTCTTATACTGAATTCACGCTTTAAATGTTCAAACAATTATTCTGAAAGAGGAAAATGTGGAAGACGGAAAGTTATATTTCAAGTCTGTAACTTTCCTCAATATCGGAGGAATCTCGCTTTACAAAGTCAACATATCACGTATAATTGAGTTTGGGTGGAAACAGGAAGGTTACTCGCTTTCCCGGCGCTGAAATTCCTCGCTCAGAACATTAAATTTCCTTTCGAATCTATATATCTAACTACATTAGTTGTGGATGGAAGAGTTGATAATTTTCGAAATTAATTTATTCAAAGCAACGTACTTTTACTCTCGTTGATAACAGTTGAACGAGAAAGTTGTTTTTAACAACAAGATCGGATTTGTGGTTCATCGTACGCATGTGCAAAATTGATTTATTTGAGATCAATCGTGGAATAGAAATTTGCGTTCATTTTTCGACGATGTAGAATCAGATATTATAAAAAAAATATCTACTGAATACGTGTGAAGATCTTTAATTAGATTTGCATAGAAAGTAGTGCAGTAAAAAAAGAGAGAACACGCCAATCCGATGAAATAAAAGATATGGGTATAATTTTATCGACCATTTATTTGCATAAGCCGTTGTTATCCCAAATTAAAGAATTTATTGTTATATCAAAATACGTATATATTTTATAGTGGAACGAAAACAACATACATAATGAAATTGTTTATTGGAAATGAGAATGAAAGGAAGAAAGATAATCACGTAATTATATTTTTCATTTCGAATCCACCCGAGGCAAACTACTGTCCGAGACAAATTTCGAAATTTAAATTTCTTCTTTCACAATGAAAAACGATCATACGTTTCTGTATTTTTTTTGTATCATCTTCTTTGGAATCGAATTTCATGAAACTCTCGCAATGAGTGTTTCCATTTTCACGCGGTCCTCTTCTTCACTCTATTATTATAGTATTTATTATTGTTCCATTCTTTAACGAAGCATAACTAAAGGAAAATGAGATTCAAATAAATAGTTTGTATGTAAAATAAACTATATCTTCGGTTGCGGTTAAACTCGATACTCGTTTTTTTTAACACTTTTAATAACTTTGATCCACTTTCTTCTTTCAAACTATTTACTCGGTTAATTATAATTTTTTTTTCACATTTTTTTTTTCGCTACGATATTTTTTCTATAATCTAACAAAATTCATTTATAATTATGTATAAAATAGAGAAAACTTTTAGTTTTTGAATATCATAAACAATTGCTTATGAGTTTTTCTTAAAAATTCACTGTATAAATAAAGTTACATTCTATTTCAGTCATCCGTTCAAGTACTATCAGTAACAAATGTCGCTTAACTTGTTTAAGCACTGATTATCAGACACTTGTACTTGCAAAATCGATTTGCGTCATTTGAAAACACAAAGATTTGCTATTTCATTATATAAACAATTTAATCCAATATCTATATCCCTTTAATTCCTTGTAAAATATATTTTATTTGTTTTATAAACTTTATATTTATTTTTATTGTAAATATTTGTTATTTCCGATATTAATTGACTCACTTTCATTCAAAAACATTTCTCATTCAAAACAAATATTTGTTTTGCATCAAATCAATTTGCTTTCATTATTCCTACGATTAATTAAATCGGATTTCACAATTTAATATTGATAAACCTTTTCGCAGTTTTCTTATATATTTTTTGATCTCCATAACGTTTTTGTCAGCGTTTTCTTCTTTGTGGCTTACGAAAGAGGCACATAAATAGGATAATTAATCGTGGGCGGCGTTTCAAGCGTAACAGGATTAGACTATTGATTTTTTGAAAGAGACGCTGAAAAGAGTTTTCTTCTCTATTTTGTCACTTCCCTTCGCGGTAATAATTTTAAAGAGAAATAAATAGACGACCTGATTTTCATAATGCTCGTGGAAGCAGCGTACAACTAATAGGTTTCCAGGAAAATCGTTTCCTCCGCGAAAATTAATGCGCTTTTAAGATATCCCTTAAAGTCTCATTATGCTCTCTCAATTGCATGCAATTAATTACTTTCATTATATTGCAATTGGATGTTATGATGCGTAAATCTATTTTTTTTGTGAATTATCGTATAATTATGAGTAAATAATGAAAATAATAATTTTAAAAAAATACTTGAAAATAAGCAAAAATTATTTGAAACATTAATTACATTTATTTTGTAACTACATTTTAAAATGCACAAATCTATTTTTTGTGAATTATGTAAAACGATGCAAAGTAGAGAAAAAAATAAATTAATTGAATTTGAAATTTCTGAAGAAATCCTCTTAACCAATATTCAAAAAAACAATACAAAAACAAATGTAAAAAACATACTTTTAACAATCTTGCAACTGGATGTAATGATGTATAAATCTATTTTTGTGAATTATCACATCAGTAAATATGTAATGAGCCAAATGATTACAAAAGCAAATAGAATATAAACTTTTTGAGGAAAATCTAACAAATATAACTAATTTATTATAGCTGAGAAATTATAAAATATTAATTAGACTTTATAATGTACAAATCTAGTTTTATGTATATATATAAATAAATATAATTTTAACTCTTTGACAAGAAATTCATAATAGTATAACCAAAAAAGTGTGTTATTTAAATCCGAAGAATAAGAAAAACATTTATTCATCAGATAAATATCTTCAATAACATTGCATGTGTTGCATAATGCGACATTGTTTCTTGAATGAAATTCTTGGAAAGATGAGCGACAGTAAAAGCATCTAAAGAATATTAATGAAGTCTCATTGTGACAACACCCTGTATCATTCCTCCTTGGTTAAGACATTCTTTAATTGCATTCCGCGTATCTCAATATACCCGTATGCAAATAGGAAAGCGATTGCACTAAATGCGTTAATTAAACCGACCCACCGATAAATAGACACATGCAGGTAAGTGTCAGCTAATCGCTCCATCATAGTTTTACCATGACGATTGCGTAACTCTGCACGGGTTCGAGTTGCCTTTCGTACGCCCACCGTTCGGAATTCCAGCTGTTAAGATTCGTACCACATGGAAATCATTGCAAGTTATTAATGAAGAGATGAAGAGCGATCTATTGCAATGATTGCAGATGTGCTCTTCTTCTCCGCTCAATGTATTCAAAAACGCACGAGCAGACGGCTATGGATTAAAAGACAAGGTCGTTGCAAAATCGCTGTTAAAATTCATTGGGATTTATTGAGTTACACGTTTGTTGTGTGGACGGATGGAAGTGGACACTATTTATAGGAATGATCTTCGTCGGTGATCCATTCGTTTTGTAGATATTAGGGATTATACATACTTAGGATATGTAGGGTATGGGTTTGTATGTGGTTGGTGTTCACACGGGTATTCGGTTTTGCGTTTTCTAAGGTGCTTTCACTGTTGATGTTGTAGCCCCATGCACACACGAGCAGGACATGGTACACAGAACATTTATTTACACGCGCCAACAGAGTGAGAGAGATACATACTCTCTGGCCTCGATTGCATTACATTTCTCCCATGCCTTAAAAAAAAAACTTTAGAGAAGAGTTTGTAAACTAATGCACATACTCGGAATTCCATCTGGAAACAATCATTCATCAACGAAAACCCATCAATCCCGAAGCATCCCGAAAATATCCAAGAACCAAAACCTTTCTCATGCGTCAATTTCGAAACAATCACCCACGTACATTTTTCTTTTCATAAATTATTTTTTTCTTACGGCCTTGTAACCCATTCCTCCACCAACCTGCAAAATCAAATTTGGACACTTACGTAACGCAACTCTCGGCGCTATTCCATTGTTTATGTGCTCTCTAGATTATTATTGTTTTGTTCTTGCATTTCCAGTCGCCCTAGAGAAATATTTCTTTGTCTTTTTTTGTGGTCAGCAAAAATGATGCCAAGAAACTCTACCCCTTTGATCCTAGACAGGGATATCTTTTGCACCTATAAGGTAAAGTCCATCTCTGAATTGAATAACTCGCCTACTACGACTTACAACGATGCTATAACGAATTATCGTTAATATTAATACTAGGAAGTGATAAAATAACAACGACCGCATTAATTACTATTTAAAATTTACATTCTAAGGTAATCTTAATAACAATATGAGTAACATCGTTGACCCAAAACGAAAATAAAATATAATCTTCGAACGGAAATAATAAAATAACCCAATTCACAAATTATTACAACAATCGATTTTTTTTTCAGTTTCCATAATCTTTAGTCGTTAAGAAAGCAATTAACGCTAGTTCATTAAGTCGATTTAATTTTAATCAATTAAAGTAACATATGAAAGTCTTGTTAAATACATTACTTATGTGCAGATTTCTTAAATATGCAACCATCAATTTTCAACATATATGATTGATGCCTTTTAAATTCCGTATTTACATTTATATAAATGAACATTACTTCGAATTAATCGAAATTCATAAAGGCTAAATATTCATAAAGATAAATTTAGTTTGAGTATCTTAAAATATTTATAAATTAGCACAAAACTGTCTTATTTACATTCAAATTTTTACGTTAAAGATAAAACGCCAAAATTCGAACACAATTTTTTATCGGGCCTCTGGTAATTAATGCCAAAATTTATCATCGTTATCTGTAATCCATAGATCCGTGATGTAATTAAATTTAACGGTCGTGTGTTTCACCCAATTACGAATAATATATTTTCTTTGTCAGAAAACGGAATTTATTTACAAAAATCCGTTATTAAATTCGTGGAAATTTATTCTGTAAATTAATTAATTTATTATTAGCACGAAGGTGTCGCCAGACAATATTATTATAAATCTAACGGTTTCTTTTTCGATTTTTTTAAACAACCGATGGTCGTCACTCAAAGTGCGTTGATGTTAAACACTTGCGTTTTCAAGTGGCCAATGGAATAACGCTCTCGACTATCAAAGTTTCCTCACTTAAAGCAAGCTTCATTTATATGCAGCAGTAATAACTGAGCTAAAGTTGTTTATAATGCTGACATGTTAATTAGATTGTCCTTCCGAGGTCTGCGACTATCCCGTCCTTCTGATTGATAAGAAGAAGGAAATTTGAATACTGGTAATTGCGTTTAATTAGAGATTATTCGTACGCGCAATTATGCAATTTCGTTTTAATAATGGGAATTCGCAAATTGAGAACCGAGTCTCCTACGATTTAATGAGTTGAGGAAAAACTGGAATCCGCGCCTCGAGGGAAACCGCAGCTCGTCCTTTTTTTGCTCAGGATGTGTTCTCTTCTCTGTATGTGAACGCTCGTGAAAGCGGTGTGAAAATACTCATTGCAAATAAACACATATTAAAGAAATGCAATTTACGGAGAAGAAGCACTTTCTGTTTGTGTCTTATTATATCTAATTATATGTTTGATTTCAGATAAAACTCGAGCGGGTCTTGGGCGTCACAGTCAACAATAATGCAGCTTTAGCCTCAGATCCAAATTCAGAGACCGTCGCGTATCCTGCAGGGTGAGTTGTAATTTTGGAAAAAGACTCGTCCTCTCGTCAGCACCGGTAATGCATTACGGAATTGTCAATTTGCCTGTGCACTTTGCGAGGCGCGCTTCTCCTCATTTCATCACCGCTTCTCGCATTTTGCTAAAAGAGATGAAGGGTAGTTTATTAAGCCGCTAATTGAAAAAAAAGTGTAATTTCTTGGAAAACGTACCTTCACCGCTTCACAATGTTTCCTTCGATACGGATCAATGAAGCCGTCGACGACGTTCTCTTACATAAAACATTCTCTTTTCATGCTGCACATTCTCGTTTTGTTCCCTTCTATCCAGTGCAATAAGCTAATCACAATTTGCTGATTACAAATACTTTTCAAAGACCTTTACTACAAATCATTACATTTCCCTTTTAAACTATATTATTTATTGAATTTAAAAGTAATGTATTGTTGAATACACTACACTGGTCTTCATTTTCATAGAATCATGTGTGATACTCCTACGGTATGATAATTGAACTATATGCTAAAACGACCGACTTTATGCATAATTTCATATGAAAGTGAACATGCTAGATTTTTCGTAGCTGCAGGAACAACAATCGGACATAATTATCTATTCGAAATCTCTCGACGTGTATTCTTGCATAAATAATTCCATTCAAACCTAAACGCTCAACGATTTTCTATGTATACATATTCAGCAACCTGCAAAATATCAGATTTAACATGAAAACTATAATTCATAGCCGTATCGTGCCGTGCGGTGACATATATATATTTTAATCACGTAATTAAATAGCAAATATATATATAAATATTGAAATAATTTAATTTTAATAATTCATCAAGTTTATTCTAAATTGTTTAATCGTGAGTAATTTTAAACTATACCGACAATATTTATATAAACAATATTTCACAACTTTTAAAATGTGTCCAATTTTGTCTCGTGACGACGCATTTTTTTTAAATAGAAAAATATAAAAACTATCTCGACATTCAAAAGAAATGATCCAACATTTTTGTTTAGGCGTCTCTGACTCATTAGATTCCATCCGCAAAATGTTACATATTATTATTATTATGTTAGTCATTGATCAGATCTCGATGAACTAGAAACCTTTTACCGTCGGAGCAGATGGAGGAAGTGTATCGGAAACGCGGTGATAATTTCCATTGCGTAGCAAGACTTCTCGTTGAAACATTTGCATAACTGATTTGCCGCACTTTAAAGGACGTAATTAGCTACTATTTGTTGATGCGCTTTGCTCTTTTGCGACACAATATATTAGTGTGTGCATGCAAAACCCATCGTCGCAGATTCTTTTTTTAGAACCGGTTGAAAACACTATTGCATAACTGAAGCTGTGCATCTCTAGGTCACTTCCATGATTTCTAATTGTGTCATAGTTAAGAAAAGATCACCATTTGTTCAGTGTTTATTGCATAATTAAAAAAATGAAATGTGAATAATTTGATTTAATTTTCTTGTTGTTTTTACAGATGCACAGTGGTCTTGTTCAATACCACTACTGGTCAGCAAAGTCACATCATAAATACCAGCAAGAAGACTGTTACTTCTTTGGCTTTTTCATCATGTGGACGATATCTAGTTACAGGTGAGGTTTATAAATGTTTTGCTATATATCTTTGCAAGTAATAAAATTTATTTTGAATATTTAAGGGGAATGTGGGCATCAGCCAGCTGTGAGGATTTGGGATCTTCAATCGGATCCTCAGCCTGCACAGACAGGGTTGGCCCCACAGGTCCAGCAGGTGGCGGAGTTCGTGGGGCATAAATATGGGATCAGTTGTGTTGCCTTTTCGCCTACCAACAAATTCGTGGTCAGCATCGGAACCCAACACGATATGATCGTCAACGTGTGGGACTGGAAGAGCAACATCAAAGTGGCCAGTAACAAGATCAGCACAAAGGTGAAGTCCATTGCTTTCGCCGACAACGGCAGCTACTTCGTTACCGTAGGAAATAGGCACGTTAAATTTTGGTTCTTGGAATATGGAAAAAATAAGGTAAATGATGACCACAATCTCTTAGAATTGTAAGTTTCTAAAGGATAAACCTTGATTGCAGTATAACAAAGAGGCGGTGCCGCTCATGGGAAGATCTGCAATCTTGGGCGAGCAACGAAACAATTACTTCTGTGACGTCGCTTGTGGAAAATCCCAGTGCGGGGACAGCACATACGCAATCACCAGATCAGGTCTTCTATGCGAGTTCAACAATCGACGTCTGCTGGACAAATGGGTCGAGTTGAGGGTAAATATTTATAAATTGTTGTCTTAAAAACTTATTTAAAATTTGTGCGGTTCTCTTTGTGTGCAGACGACGAGCGCCAATTGCATTTCAGTCGGTAACCAATTCATCTTCGTCGGTTGCGCGGACGGCATAGTGAGATGCTTCGATCCGACCACCCTCAATTTCATCACAACACTACCCAGGACCCATTACCTAGGTGTCGATGTCTCTCTAGGTCTCAACATTACGTAAGTGTTGAGATATTCATTTTTCAAACATTACTAATATAATATCTTTAGGCACATGTCATCACCTCCACAAGAGGCCAAATATCCAGACACAACTGCCATAACGTACGATGAGTCTAGTAAAAAATTAACGTGTATCTACAATGACCACTCAATATACGTATGGGATGTCCACAATATAAGAAGAGTAAATAATTATATAAATTATTAACTTAATGATATTGAATTCTATCGTTGATTATTTGCAGGTCGGAAAATCACATTCTTTTCTTTACCATTCCGCGTGTATCTGGGGTGTGGAAATGGCTCCTCCGCAAAGTCCGTTACCATCTGGGACCTTCCTCACCTGCAGCTCAGACGATACCATTCGCGTTTGGACATTAGATAAGCTCAATGATAAAACTGCCAAGGGCATGTACAGAAGAAACATTTACAGCAATGTATGTCTAAAACCTGAATTATTTATGACACCAAAAGTTATTAATTATTTATTTATTAGGAATTGCTCAAAGTGGTGTACGTGGATAAAGAACTTGCGTACCTTAAAGACTTAGATGCGTCCTCGAGTAACGTATCAAACGAAAAGCAGGATTCCTCTTACGATGCTCGCAATGGCGTGAGATCGATCCGTTTGAGTAGCGATGGAAAGCAGCTCGCTTCTGGAGATAGATCTGGTATAACGAATTCAACAGCGGGAATAAAGAGAATCGTAAATTGCAACTTGCGTTAATGTTTCAGGTAACATCCGCATCCACGAAACTGTGTCCATGACTCAGCAATTGAACATCGAAGCTCACGATGCCGAAGTACTGTGCTTGGAGTTCAGCAATCCTTCCGAATCGACCGGAGGTCATCGTCTGATGGCGAGCGCCAGTCGGGATCGTCTGATACACGTCTTCGACGTGAATCGCGATTACAACTTCCTGCAGACCCTAGATGATCACAGCTCGTCCATCACGGCCGTCCGCTTCCTCACATCGCAGCACGGCAATCTCCAAATGGTCTCCTGCGGAGCTGATAAAAGTTTAATATTCAGATCGTTGGGTGGTGTAAGTCTTCATGTCATGCATTTTTATTGACCTTAGTAATCTTGTATATTTCGTCTAGACACCGAACGGTACACCGCAGTTCCAAAGAGGCCACAACGCCACGGGAAAGACAACCCTTTACGATATGGAAGTGGATGCTGGCCAAAAGCACGTATTAACTGCTTGCCAGGATAGGAATGTTAGAATTTACAGTGTCGGAACTGGAAAGCACACCAAAAGCTTTAAAGGAAGCACAGGAGACGATGGAACTCTTATAAAAGTAAATATCTAATATATCTTCGAATCACAGCGCTAATGAATTTATGTTTTCAGGTGGTTTTAGATAAATCCGGCATTTATTTAGCCACTTCTTGCACAGATAAATCTCTATCAGTGTACGACTATTACACAGGGGAATGCATGGCTACAATGTGCGGACACTCCGAATTGGTTACAGGCTTGAGATTCACCAACGATTGCAGACGTTTGATATCAGCTAGTGGCGATGGGTGCGTGTATATGGAATTTCAATTTGTCACCTACATTACTAATTAATTAATTGTCATTTTATAGATGCATATTTGTTTGGAGAGTCCCTCATGATATGGTGATAACGATGCATGCAAGGCTGAGTCAACAGGCGATGCGTCAAGGCAAAACTTTGGATCATGAAATCTTCAGCGACAACAGTAACGTCGATTTCTATGAACCGAACAATTCCGGCGTCGACAATGATTATAGGTAAGGAACAACCAAAAACTAAAATCGTTCTTTTTTAATTTAATTGCTTTCCTTGCAGATTTAGTATTGGTCAATTGCCTCTTTGGGCTAAGAAACATATCTCAGTAGACAGTAGTCCTCCAGTTTCTCTGAACAAAGGTGGAGTAGCTGCGCCCAAAGGCCGATGGGCGCAAAGGGCTGAGCGCAACGTAGGAGTTAAGTCAATATATACGGATTCTGTGATACCTTTTCCCTCTTTACAAGGCTCTGAGGACTCGAAGGATAGCTCTTTGGATGGAGAGATGTACACAAGGCGTGAACTCAGTACTACCAAACAGGTTAGTAGTTTCTCTCAATATCGCTTCCAGCAATTAACATTAACAAAACGCTTGCAATTTTTATTTTCCAGGATAACGATTTTATTCCATGCGAAGAAAGCTATAACGAAATTACTAATCCTAATAGAGAGGTGGGTGTTTTTTAGCTTTATAAAATCTATAAAATTACAATTCATTAATTCTTTGTTCATTATTAATTAGATATCTACAAGCAACATCAATTTGAGTCGAGGAGACGGCCGGAGGCTTACCGAAGACTCATTCGTTGATCCTGAGTTGGAATCGATTGCTCATGACGGCGATATAGATTCCGATCAAGAATACAGACATCAACCTATGTATTACCCAACACAGGCAGATTCGGCAAGGTAATTCATGTGTAAAGTTGTTTCAATCAACATATTCAATTCAACATTCTTAGTGGTAGCGAATTTACCGTGACGAACATGGATACCGAAGAGTTGCGCAGGTCGCACAGAAGATCTAAACGTGGTTCACTTCCACCTGCCATCAATATCCAACCAGTCTCGATTTCCACGGGAAGCCAAGATTCAGATGACGACGATGATGAAGCGTCGACTCCAAGCGGAGAAAACACCGATAGAAATCCTATGTCTATTTTATCGGTTAGTTCCGAATCTCTTGATCAACTGGTGAATAGGGAGAAATATCTTCAGTCGACATTTGAAAGTTTGAGTGGAGCAGAAATGGAGTCGCACGGATGTAAGTTAAATTAAAATAGTTTTCTTTTACATTGTATTTTACAATGCAAACGATTCCAGTGAACAAGTCTTCGATATCCTCCAAATACCATACGAGGACCAGCAACACGCCGAAAATCCGGAACATAGCTGTGGTCAACGCCATGAAGCAGACGAAGAACGATTCGGACACGCTAAAGAAGCGCGAGGAGCTGCACAAGAGGATCGCAGAAACCAAGAAGAAACTCCAAAGCGTGAGTATTTACTATTAATTAATAATTTTAATCAGGCTAATCCAAGCTGACGATGTTCCATGTAGATTGGTCATTCGAGCCCGTTGAAATATAGCCAGTCGATAGCGGACCTTTCGCATATACCGGAAAAGGAAAACCGGTGGAACCGGAAAACAGGTAACAACCAAACAGTAGGCGCGTCGGAATGCCCATGCTCTAACAATCAACTTAACAAAAACGATTTTAACTCATCACATACTACTACTAACATTAACAACCGGCTTTTTGAAGACAACAGTTGTTCGGTCCGGGCCAGCGCTTCTGTGCCTATGGACTTGCAGCTTTGCGGCTGTTACATGCGTGAGATTACTAAGAACACAAGTGATATCACGAACTTTTCATTCTTGCGCCCGTCCAAACTCAGCGACATCCTGAGTCAAAGCCCTGAGAAAGGAGTCCAAGATCTAGCTGCCCTCATACAGCCTAGAAAATTGCGCTTGGATAAGACCCTTAACAAGTACAAGCATAAGAGTCTTCCAGTGTCGCCTGTTTCGGAAGAATGTCGTTTAGCAGACTTTGCTGTAGCCGCGCAGCAAGATCAAAAGAGCCGCAAATCGTTCAGCTACTTCGTTGATTTCGATGAAGATCCAACTACAGATCCCAACGCTGGTTTCAAGAAAATTTGCGATGACATCGAGAAGTTCTCGCGCGATTTTAGCAAGAACTATGATGCCATAGATGGCATCTTTGGTACTGCGGAGAAAGACTGTTTTATTAACGCCGGCCAGGGCTTCGTAAAGTCCAGATCGGAATACGGATTGAGCACCAGACAGCAGGAGGGTTACGTTAATGAAGCATTCAACGATAGTTTAAACTACGATAAACATGTAGCTGATTATGATAATGTTCAATTTTACGATCCGCAAGAGGAAGAGGATGGTAACTTTAGCTCAGATTCTTTAGAAGATTGCAGTTTTAAGTCATCTAGAAACGTTAAAAACAAAAACATGATAGCACCTAGAAGATGCGTTAGTAATAACGAGTTGTATAAACTACAAGCTCAAGAAGAAACAGATTACTCAAAGTATTTCAAACATGATTGCGAGATACCCAAAAGCGAGAGCTTCTACCTAAACCAAAGCAATAGAAACTCGCAAGAAAGTCTGCTGTCCTCTGAGGATAATTTATTGGATGAAGATGGTTTTAGGCGCACCAGAAGCTATTGCAACAGTTTAGAAAGTGTACTCTCAAACGAGTCCGATTGTAAATCTGCTCCTTTGGAGGCTCTATTCACTTCTCATCGTTACTATTCTCAATCATTGCCCAAAAGCCGATCAGATTTATCCGATATTAAATCTAAAAAGGTATACAAAACGATGCAGACTCAAACCGACATACAATTGGAGACACCCGACGAGAAAATCTCGAAGAAGTCCAACATAAGTGCCGAATTTCAGCGTAAACTGATGAAATTCGAGAGCTGCATAGCTCAAAATGAACTAAAGTGTAATTTGAATGCGAACACCAAACATAACAAGGGCGTCGCGTTCTTTGTGAAGACTGAAGATAGAATAAAAGACAACGTGATGTACATCCCGAGCATGGCTAGCAAGAACCAGCAATACAAAAGTAAATTTTGCAACGTGCTCAATAATAAGCCCGAAGTGAATCTGGACATATTCCAGAGCAGGGCTAGCAATAACAACAAGAACGGCAACCAGAGTTTCACTTTAACTAAGCACAATTTTGACAAGAGCAACAATAAGAATAAGGAAACCGCAAGCTTGGACAGACATTTGCTTAGTAAAGGTCTCCTGGATAGTGAGAAGGTTTGTCATAAGCCGCCGAAGGCAGTAAGGAGGCACAGCTCCAAAACGAGAAAAAAACGAACAAGTTACGAATACGTTAAAAAGGAGGATTTTAAAGAATCCAAGAAGATGAACAATAGAAATATCGATGAGAATTCACCGCCTAACGAGAGGAGTATAGAATTTAAATACAAGGAGAAGAATGTGGAAAACGATTTGGACAACGCTAATATCTTTACCGAGCTCTACGACAGTTTGGATAAGAATGTAAAGATCGAACCCGACTCGCTAGAATATGGCGTAAACATGAAGAAGAAAATTGAACCCGTGGAGATTGAACCCAAAAAACTTTGGCATGCAGAAGTTTTGAAAACGCAAATTGCCGTGAACAACATCAAGATCTTGAACGATATCCAACGGAAAGTTCAGATGATAAATGGATTGGTGGACGTGTTTAAACAGAACTTGGGCGTGGGCAAGGTGAGAGCACTTTCGGGGATGTACGAAAACTTGAACAACAGGCAGTGGGAAAGACCAAAAGGCATACCTAGGAAACTGAGCTTGCACAACGTGGTTGGCGAGTGCAAGCTTAGCGTATTTTCGAAAAGCGCCAAGAACGTGGAAAACAACCAGAAAGTAGCAGAAGGTTTGTCCCAGTAGTCGAAAGTCCAAAAGTTTATTTTGATTGACATAGCCGCACTGCACAGCGTTTTTTGTTTGTTGTATTATTTTGTTTTTCCAGATACACGGAGTTGTTTTTGTTAAGTTGTGTCTGAGGATAGTTCAAGCATGGCAAGACTATTTCTTTGCGCATTTATCATTTTCTACATGCAAGGTGTTTTCATTTCTATTTCAGGTTTTAATTTTGATATAATCTACGTATCGAGCGAAAGAAACATCTTGCAAAATGTACACCCCTTTATTTTGTTGATATTCAATATTTATTATTTTAGACATCATTTTTATTTATACATTTTTGTTAGAGCATGGTTCTTTGTATTTAGTGATTGTGCATGGCTTTTTTAGTTTACCTACGTTATGTTTTTCCTATTTTTTATGCATGTTGTTGCAGTGCGTATAGATGATGATAGTCCAGAAAATTCGTTGCGCAGGGCATGCAGCCTAAGCGATCTCACTGTTCAAGGCCCGATCGTGCCCAAGCGCAAAGTGGATCAAGGTAAACTGAAATATTTCGGTTTTGGGCTTCCGCTTACAATTTACTTATTTTTTTAATGGGGAATTAATTTATTAATGTTAAGTGTGCTTCACGCTAGATTTTGCAAAGCTTTTCAGAGCCGAATTAAACAGCTCATCGACTAACGGCATTTCGAATTCAGTTTCAGGCAAGTCTCTTCCAAAGAATCCCCAGGTGTCACGGATTAACCGCTACAGTAAGAGTTCGGGCGCCGGAGCTCCGATGATGAGGAGCAGTTCTTTGGTTGGATTGAACCATTCGGATTCTGATGATAACGAGAAGAAATCGCAGAGTAGATTAATGCGTCCGACGATCAGCTCTCAGAACAAGATCGCCGGGAATAATGGTAAAAATGCAGCCATGAGGAAGAGGCATTCGCATTCAGTCAGTAAGTAGTTGATTTTAAGAAAGTAAAACAACAGAAAAATTTATTTGATATCATCTTACGATGTTTAGTGAATTTATCATCGGTGGGCCACGAAGATAGTTCTTCAGAAGAAATGGAGAAGGTAATCACTAAGCCAATAGTGCCGCCTAGGAATAGAATACACTCGAGTGATGGTAACCCATCAGCAGCAGCTAGGAAACTTTCAAACAGCATAAAGGATAACGTTAAACGTAAGAACTAAATAATACGAAAAACAATAAAATAAACATCCGATTTACTTGCATTCGTTTAGCAATGAGGAATTACGATAGGCCCAAAGCTGATATGGACGACACACTTACCAGCAGCAACTGCGATGATTCCTTCAATGTATCAACAGCAGAACGTAAGAAAATTCTCAATGGTAGCAAATTAATATATATTAACGTAATTTGTTTTTTATACAGTTTCAACACAATTATGCGATGAAGTCGCATTGCAACTAACAAAAGCAGCCAACAACGTGGTGGAACTATATCGTCGCCTGACCGATCCCACCGAGCGCATTCCAAAGGAAGGCTCCCTTCAGAAGGCGGACATCCTGAAGAACCTCGAACTTACTATAGCTTCCACGCAGAAGGTGCTGCAGGACATCACCTTGGAAAAATTTCGTCAAAGCAGCAGCCACATAGATGTGAACCAGACAGATGCCGTGAAGAAACTCAATGATCTGATTTCTAAAGGATTCACCAACGATCAGAATGACGTGGTGAACCTAATGCAGCAATATTCGGATATCATATTGGACATGATGCAGCAGAAGATCCAGGACTCGCATTCGTGAATTTTATAAATTGTATGTTATTTTTTACTGTTCCCTTTTTCTTTTGTAATGTTTTATTTATATTCGTTTTTAACTTATTTATCTGACACCAAATAATAAAGCTTTTCCCTATCCAAACAAAAAAATATTAAAAAAGTATATATATACATATATTTAAATATATTACATTTAAACTATATCAGATTCATGTAATCACGTACCGTTTATATCAGCATGGCAAAAAAAAAAGAAAATCATTTTAAAAACTTATAACGTCTAGAAACGTTTATTAATAAACTGAAAAAGTACAGTTGGATTGAAGAAAATTAAACTGAAGAATTAGTGTAGAATGGAATGGAGGAGGTGCCAATTGCCAACTGTTATTATTTCATTATAATTAATATTGTTATCATTCCATTCAATGAAGGGGATACATTTAAAGAAAAAAATACTAATTAATTGATAATGAAAAAAAAAGAAATATGGCTGTAACTTGATATAATTAATGTATAATAAATGTTTGTATTTTACTTTGTTTGTATTTATCATCGGAAAACAAACAAAAAAATAACTATAGAATAATGTATGTAATTTGTATTGATTGTATATTTTGTGAAACTTCGTAATAATATAGCAAATAAAGAAATAAATTCTATTCACTATAATTGTTATATCCTTCGAATTGTATTGTATTAATTATGAGAATATGTTTTACTCTAGATAATTTGCAAAAGTCTTATTTCATCAATCTATATAATATATCTTATTTTATTTTAACATATCAATTTAAACCAATGAATCATACAAAGAGTATAATATTTCGTTATAAAGTGGTTATCATTAGTAGTCTTATAGAAATTCGATTACTGCTCTAAATAATGAAAAATGTTTAAATTATTCTACATTATATGCTGTAGCTTTTATTTATTAAAAATAATTATTTTAAATAATATATATTTTATCTTAAACCATTTCCTTAATTGTTATACACTTTTCTAATATTAAAATACAACGTGGACAAATAAAAGGATTTTGTTAAATGAAGTAGGCATTATTCGGATAGTCCTGTACATGGAGTTGCCTAAATTACTTTAAGAAAAAACAACTCAGTATATAGAAAAATGTATTACAAAGCAAAAAAAATTAAGTGCTATAACAATTAAAAAAAAGAGCAATTATTTACATTCTCCTACTAACTACCATCACGAAGTCTTGAACACAAACCCTTTCTTAGCTAAATCTTCTTTCGCCTCTATAATTTGCTGTAAAATAAGAATGTCATTAAAAGACCAAATAAAATTTATAAATGTATAAAACCTTTTGCACTTCAGCAGCTGCTTCAACACAGTTATTAAAAGTGAACACTCGGTACAATACAACTGCTACTGCATATAGCTAAAAATAAATTACATATGATGAGTTTTTATTACATATAATATGTACATTTATATTACCCCAAAGAGTGCAATTAATATAAAAGGCAAGTAGAGTATAAATTCCTTGTACTGATCCAAGATCTCAAACTTATAGCGGTTGGTGAAACAACTGATCCATACTGAGATTAACACACTCAACACTGACAACCATTCCATTAATTTAGTCATGTTTGATGTCACTGTAAGCCACTAGAGATGAACAAGTTAAATAACAATAATTATATTAATTTAAAAAAAAAATCAGGAATGATAAATTCGCGTTATGGAATGGTGTAAAGTGTACAAATTTATCAATTTGTTCAAACTGAAGTTGTAGCCAGTTGCAGCCAGTTGTAGCAAAAGAAATGGCTGTATTTTATGCAGTATGAAGTTATTTACGATTGCGGTACAAAATGTAATATCTCTTGCAAAATGATCATCGTTGCTTTTATTCAATCTAATGTTTTTAAATATTAACAATAAAATATTATATATTTGAATATTTATTTAAAAATATTATTTAAGATTTTTATTAAAATGGTGAAAGTTAAATGATGATCAAATATTTATTATAAGAAGTTGAATTATTAAAAGATACAATTGAAACTGATTGAAATATTATTAGTTTATTTCTGAAAGAGATACAAACAATCGATAGTTGTCGATTGTCAATTCGTATATAATAGGTAGTTAACTTCATTTTATTTTGAATCTAGTTGGACTGCATTTGGAGCTGGTTTTATGCTCCAAATTAATAAGTCTAACTAGGTTTAAGTACGTTTAATCCATATCAAAACTTTGTTAGAAACTCAGGTGAGTATTTTCACCTTGACATAAGCAACAAGATATGTCGAATATCGATTTTTGTCATAATTAAGGTTAAGTTGTTGTGATTCAGTTGTTTATAAATGGTTAAGATAATGAAAATTGCAGATCAAGTTACTTAAACCATTTTATTTTCTAGCTTAAATTATGTCTGAGGAAGTGAATATATTGGATCTATCAGATGAAACTCTGCTCAACATATTTTCTTATGTTACTGCATCGGATCTCTACAATCTGAGCCTGTAATTATAAAATATTGTAAATCCTTGGTATGATTGTAGTTTAAAATAATTGATTTCTAGCACAAGTGATAGGTTCAATTGCATAGTCAGAGACAGACAACTGTGGAATTGGTGCGATGGTAGACCTCAGCCGCATTCAAGAAAGAAGGTGAACTTCTGCTTGGAGAACCTAACCACAAAAACTAAAGCAATATTCTTTGATGGGAACAGGAACTTGAATGGACGTTTGGTTATTTACCAAGATATAGAGACTCTTAAAAACTATAAGGAGCTCACTATCCTAGCATTGGAAAATGTTTTCTTCCATGGAGATGAGGCAATACTATTTGTTTATGTTCTTTTTCTAATTTTTAACTAAGATTTGTTTTAGGTGCCTATGTGTACATTTCCACATAGTCTTGAGGAGCTCAGCTTGGGTGGTTCTTATATTACAAACCATCCTTTGTTCTTCAAATCTTGCCATGTTTTGGAAAGACTCAGAGTAAGTGCAGAGTTTAAATTATGCAATACACTAAAAGGAGTTTTGTTTAAAAAGTATTTCATTGTTATTTTAGGTTGTAATTTTGGATAGATGCAGGTGGTTTACGTCGCATGCACTTGTATCGCTCAGTAAGTTGTCCAGCCTGCAGATTTTGTCCATGTACTTTTGCAAGCAATTGCGCGACGAAGAGATGAGTTATATAAGTTTAGCAGGTAGATTTGGATTTAAATCTCTACAAGTGTTGGACCTGCGTTTCACCGGTTACGGAAACGAAGTTGTGAGATCTTTCTACAAAAATAGCCAACTAAACGAGTTTTATTTCCAAAGTTACCCGTACAGCTACTTCATGGACAACAAGGAATGGCCGCTGAACTTTGCAGAGCAAGTGAGAGATACCGATTACAAAGAGGTTTCTAAGAAATTTGGGGATGATTACCTCTACGTGCAATTGAATATGTTGAAGCTTTCTGATATCGGCTTCAGTACACATAAGTAAATAACGAAATGCTCCAGCTGTTATGTATAATTTTTAATTATTTATTATTTTTCACAGGCAATTGGATCAATCATCAAGCGTCGATTATGTTCCATGTTCCAGTGTTTTATACCAACGACCATACAGATTGTGCACAAGCTGTACGCATAAACGTTGGAAGCAAAGAAAAAGTGAGTATTATTAAAAAAAAAATGAGTAGTTCAAGATTAAAAGTAAACTTACTTTATTTTAAAGTTGCTATACCTAATTGCTGCTAATATAAACATAAACTATCAACCTTGACTTGCTTTTAAAACTAGTCCTTGTTAATGTTATTATTGACATGTTTTTTATTGTATATGTTTAGATAATTGGTATAAACAAATGTTAAAGCCAGTTGATAAGATATATCTGGTAGCGTTTTCTCCAAAATTGATGTGGATCCGGGAAAGAGATCCTGTCAGCGATGTAGAGCTGAGCATAATTGAGAATATGTCAGCTACAGCCATAAGCAGGATAAATACGCCAAGTAAGAAAATCATAATAGTATTTATTACAATACTAAAATAGTTCAGTTTTAGCAGGCGATCCATCGGAGTGCAGCGTAATCGTTATAAACCTGCGAGGATCATCGAACGAGTCACACAATCAACCAGCGGTGTTCTATGAGCGTATGAATCGCGATAGGGAGTACGAGCTCGGCGATCCAGAGCCATACGTACCAGGTGCGAACCTGCCGGAATTCAGGTTACGCGAATTCGAGAAAATGATGTTAAGTTATGCAAACAAGCCAGAGATCAAAGTGAACGAGGAGATTTTGTCGGATGCAGAAGACGACCTGAAAGGTAAACGAAAACGGAAAATCAATGGGAGCAGTCATAAGGGAGCCAAGCGACCGAAAAACGAGGATATCAATAAACCTTCCTGCTCAAAAGCAAGGGACAGCGAAAATGAAAGCGACAGCGATTATAGCTGTAGCACACAGGATCTCAGCGACTCGGACGATGGCACTAAAAAGAAGACGTTCACGTTGGGTCCAAGACTATGCTGCTGGCAGCCTCTGGAACAACCTCTTCCGAATCTCCCGACGCGTTTGAAGTATATCTCGTTGAGGGGCTATCCAAAGATCACGGATTCAACTCTGCGCTCTTTGGAGCATTTGCAGCTCCTGCTTTTGGACGTGACGCACACAAAGGTTACCAAGGAGGGCTTGCGGCAATTTTTGGAGACGAACCCTAGCTGCCATTTGATACACGAGAGCATCTGTAGCTGCCAACCGCAGATGCATCCCACAGACAGAAAATATATCCATTAACAAAAAAAAGAGAGAAAGACTGATGAACTTCTATTGTGATTTCAACAGAACATTTTAATTCAAATCAAGTGTTTACAGCATTGCGGTGCAATAAGTATTACCTAACAATTTATATAAATGTGTACAAGATATTTATGATGTTCGTCCTTGTATTTATTGTTATTATTTTTGTTTATTGGTTTATGACTATTGTACATGTTAGACAACCACGGTTACATCAACGTGAAGTTAGAACCTAATCATTATATTTTCTCGACAATTATAGGAGGAAAAAGTATCCCGTTTTTTTATTTGACAGTTGTTTTGGTTATGTTTTTCGTGGGTTATCACGTTGGGGGTGGGATTCCCGATTTTTAAAACATTCTAAATTTTTCTCGCAATTCCCGAACCCACCCACGAAAATAAATGCTTTTGTAGTCTGTGATGTTGACTCACACTGTCTTATCAACTGGGAGCAAGTGGTTCATCAACAAAGGGGGTTCCTTTATCTTCATAATAGTTTAAAAATACATTGAACACACATATACTTTTGATTCATCACAAAAGAAATTTAAATGTGCACAGCATTTAACAAACATGGATAGAGATACAGTAAAGTTCACACTGAATGGTAAAGTATTGTTCAATTCCATTAGTTCATTATTGACAATTGTCATTGTTCCAGGAGATGATTCAGGGAATTTTGAGGATTTCAAAGTGCAGATACACAAATTTGATGGGGTTGTGTCTGCACCCACAGATGGCTCATATGCAGAGGTATTGCCTAAAGGAAAGTTCACAGTTGTACAGTAAGTCTTTACCCTATTTCTTTGTGTGTTGTCTGAGATTAAATAATAGTATTATGTAAATCCTCCTTATCACAAAGGCCAGCTGATTGCTTTGCCGCCATTATTATTATGCTATTATTTCTTGTTAACACTTTGAACTAATCCAGGCTGTATAGAACTACTCGTTATTTACATTTTTTATCTCCACTAGAAACGTATTTTTATTTAAAACTTATTATCTGCATTATAATTTCATTTTGCTGCTAGGATATAGAAATAAAGCACTATCATTTCGATGAAAACAAATGATGTTCATTTGTAAAAAATATTTTGTCAATAGACTCCATCAATTATTTAAATAATGTTCTATTTTGACCTGAAATCTTATCTACTAACATTATTTCATTTAACCTTTGTCTATTGCTTAATATATTGGTTATTTACGAAATTACAATTATTATTTATTAATGTGTATTTCCATAAGAAACTATTTTCTTTAAATATGATTTATAGAAATAATTGTTTACCTATTATATTAAGTAACAAATTAATATTTTAAAATTATATACAGCAATGGTTCTCATAGTGCACTATTTGAAACTAGACTAATCAAGGATAGCACAAAAAGAGATTTGACTGTTTAGAGCAGTGTCTGCCAAACTTTTTTTGACTCGTGGCTCACTGGACGGGTTCGTTTGTTTTATAAAAACAAAATTCTGTACTATTTCTTTAGATTCTATTTTGCTCAATTCACATTTAGTTTGTTTTGAATTTTTTAAACAGTGATTCCTCACTGATCGAAGCCGTACTTTATTTAAATCTATTGAGAATTGTAAGAAAACAAAAATAGTTTCAAAAACAAATGAGGAAACACCTACTTCTTTATAATTATATAAATATAAAAAAAAACTGTTGAAACTTTGAAACAAAAAGATTAGGCAAGTATATTGCGCAATTGAACTTGAAAAATTCTTCTACAGTGAATATACACATTCCATTTTTTTTTAAGTTCTAATATTGGACTATTAAGGCTAAGAGATACGCAACGTTCGTTGGAGAATGGTTCAAATGGTTTCTGGCTTTTGCCCGACTTTCTCTCAGTCGTCGTGTTCCGTTTTCCGTTACAGCAAAAATCACTTTCAATGCCAGCTGCAGACACACAGTTTCGTTTCGAGTTCAGTTGAGAACTGGCTCTCTCCAACAACTATCTATAACCGCGAAAGATTAGTTTTCCGGCGATGTAAATCTCGTGGCAAAGCACCTGGTGCACTTTAACAGTGGGTTATTTCTACATACTGCCGTGATGTTTAACTACAACTTCTTGAGACAAATGTAAACAACACCTCCAACTACATATATACTAGTCTATGTGTTTAACAACGATAACTTTTCTATTTGTATTGTAACTATTTTATTACTTCAGATAAATATATCTAATAGTGTTTGGGTTTAACAGTTTTAGTGATAACTTTGATATAAAGTTTTCTTTCAACATTCTCTAAAAATGACTACATTATCGATTTGAACTGAGAATATTTAGGTATTTGAAAGTCACAAAATGATATGAATTATATAATTACATTAAGATTTTTCAATTATTTTAAGTAGAAGATTGTGCATTACAGATACATTAATATCTTGTTTTTGATTATAATAAAAAGTCCACTCGGAAATATAAACCGGATCGATCTTAGATAACTTATACACATGCACATACACTTTCGAGTATGTATGAAGTTGTTAATTAACTTAATAGGATTGCGCAATAATAATATACTTTATGATCGTTATCTGGGATATGTTTTATGAATATCCTCTTGAACGCAGTTCTCAATAATTTTGAGCGAGATCCCGCGATAAGCCTGTTTTGTTTTGCGGTTCTTGCGAATATCTGTTATGCTCTGCGGTTTTCCTGCAATGTTTTCCAAAGAAAACAGAGGACAGAATTGCCAGTCTTTACATAGGAACCAAGAAATTCGTACGACATTTCGGACTATTCGTTCGGTACTTTGCATACGAAATAAAAAATGAAGGTAATTAGTGTTGTTTATTGAAACATTTCTGGATTATTTATAGTTTGCGTAAGTAACGACTTTGATGATTGTGTAATGCAGTCAATTACTGGGATAATTCATTAGTAGTTTACTATATGTCGCATTTCGTTGATACCGTCGAGGCTTTGTTAACTACAAAATGTCCAATTAAAATTTTGAAAAATAAACTTATTTTTGCGTCGTTTGAACATTACTTTAAAAGGAAGCAATATATTACTATATTAGTGCCATTTCGACTTTGCTCAAAGATAAACTATATTCGTGGAATTCTAAATTGGTTTAATCGAATAAGTAAGGAGTAAGTATTTATTTTGGCATGTACAGTTTTAAGTAACTAAGCATTAAATGTATAATTCATTAATATTATTCTAGAATATTCAATTCCGCAGATGTTTAACTAAAGGTTCAAGTGTGCATTGAGAGGTAGAGGTTGAAACATACTGGATTAGAATAATATTATATTTCTTTAAAATGACATTGAGTATTAATCTTTGTAACAAAACTACTTAAATCAAATCGACGGAAACAAATAAAGAATTGCGAATGCTGTAATTAAACAAGTCTGATGCAATTATGGGAAATACCAAAACAAATATTTTCATTGAACAATTTCGGTGTGTCTTATTTATTCCTGCATTTGTTCTTTGATAATAAACCAAATACTGTTAAATTTTAAAACTATATATATAAAATGGTATCTAGTAGAATATAGACAATTTGTTAATGTAAAAATTATTAGCAATACTCAATCATTCATTTTTCAATCGTCATTTAGTAGGAAACAATTACTCAGTTTTCAAATTTGAAAAAAATATATGAATAATTACAAAAAAATGTAATTATTGCCTTATTTAGTTATTGCTAAGAATTGAAAAGTTTTCGGAGACTAGTAATTGCTTATTTATAATTAAATATATAATATTTGCACTTGTATCTAGAATTAGTGCTATTAATTATGAATTATGGTGTAGCAGGGATTTGTAAGAAGTGCTGTATCATTATTGAATAAACGATTTATTGCTGATAATTAGGTTCCAGCAACAAATAATGCTCACCTGATGCGTTGTGATTGCAAGAACTTAATAGACCATGAACTCGTGGAGCACCGTTCGACTGATCATTAGAAAAGACACTTCTTATATTGCCGATAAGAAGTGACTTATTGCCGGGACTTATTTTCGGATATACCATTAGATGATAGAACCATATTTTATATATATATATTTTTTTCGGCGAATGTTGCGAGGTGTCTTATCAATATTAAAAGCTAATACGGTCTGCTGCCGATAAGGGGACGACAGTGGGGAGCAGAGGATGTTTTCTTTTATTTGCTCGATGCAATCATAAGAAACACTAGACCCAGTTTATTGTTTGCGGATGGTTTGTTGATGGATATAGAACTCTATGTTTTCTTTCCCTTTATTTGTTATTTTGATATCAGGTATATACTAGGTAGATAATTCAGTGAGCGAGTGAGTGCTGGAACTAGAGCGGAGGGCCCTTGCCCTTCTTATCAGTGTCGCGTGGGTTCTTCCGACGTTTTGCTGCTTATCCAATTCCGAATTGATTGGAAAAGCCATCCTTGTGATATATATGTAATATACACCCAGTGCGCCGTGAAACGTGCGACCCGCCGGTCCGCTTACGCTTTTAGACCACACTTCAGTTTTGGTGCTCCAATTGGAGAGACGACGTGAAACCATGGTTTTCGGTGTTTCGAAAATGGATGATCGAGAGCCTCTGCTGCTGGATTGGTAAGAGCTCTTCTTTGCACCATTCCAATGTTATGCAACAAGTTCTCACCGGGAGAGGAAAACGTATCTAAAAAAAAGAAACGCGCATCTTAATTTATATATAAAAAAAAACAGTTAAAATGAAAACTGATAATCCCTGCGATGGTTCAACAGCACGATAAAGAAATTGTTAATCACAGTTTCCATTCGATACGTAACGAAAAGCGATAATACTGATGATGATCCTAATTTTTTGCTAGAAAATCGAACCTTTTTGATTGCATATGCGCTTTACATATTTATTTCGGTTATCGCCAATTTGTAAGTACTAATGACTCCGTGCAGATTCCGATTCAAACGGTTTCTGTTTATCATCAACACTCAGGAGAACTGTGCTTATACTAACAGCGATACTTTATTTTATCATTGCTTAACGTCAAATTTGCGAATTAACTTCTCGTTTTATTGCACGGATCGAACGTATCAACATCATTGCTGATATGGATAACAAGTCAATTTAAATGATCGAAATTGACGAAAATGTTAGAGTGCATGTTTTCTAGCTAGTCCTTGATCTCTCAGCGATTGTCGGAACCGAAAATTTTATATATATAAACAACAAAAATATACTTTAATTAAATAAATTTATTTTATATATAACCTAAATTAGAACCAAGAACAATTATTAAATAAAAAAATAATTATGACATTCCTTTCATCCAGAGTATTCCTCGCGCGTCGCACAATCTCTCAATAAAGGGTCGAAGAGACCGTTTCCATGGGAGCAAAGAGAAAGAATTTTCATTATGGACATTCTTCCAACACATATATTCTCCGTGGATATACCTGAATTTCAATATTGTTTAAATAACGAGATAATACGAAAATATTAAAAATGGATGTATAATTTTTTGTTGCGTTTATTATCAATGTGCAAGGCATTTTAATATTATTAAGTGTTTATGCACGAGGAACAAAGCATTATGTTCAGTTTACTTCAAATTTGTAATTCAAAATATAGATGGAAATACAACGGAGCGATAATATACTTCATATCTATGCATTGGAGAAACAAAATAAAGTTTAAATATTTAAACGAAATTTCTTAAATGTCTCGTTAATTTAATCATAATCTGTAAGAAATTAGAATATGGTGTACAAGGTAATGTGTATAAATATTGATGGAGAGAGAGAAATGAAATTTTGTATCGTCATGAATAATATCTTAATTATTTTGTTTGAATGAATGAATGATAAGTAAAAATGTAAAGTAATTATCTTTATTGTACTTTCGGGATTAATGTATTTTGATGAGGAAAATCTATTAAATACAGTTAACATTATGAGATAATCGATCAAGCGTCTTGTGAAAAAAAATAAAAATAAATATTCCAGCAAAGAAAGGAAAGTTGCACAAGCGATATGCTGTACGTGCGAGAACTGCTACCAAATGAATGAATGAAACTGGTTTAAATGGAAATATACAGAATATTATAGTTGAATTATTATATTCTATATTTTAAAACTGTAGACAAATGATGTTTTTTAAGTTGGTTTTTATTTGTATGCATACAGTAATTAACAATTAGAGCATTTATCTACAATATTTTTGATAAAAAAAACATTTAATGAGTAACATTTCGCCTTCATATGTTTCGCGTGTCTCTTGTGATTGTTTAATTTTCATTGTTGCACACGCTCCAAAATGTTTGTTCGCGAAGAAAAGTGCAAAACCATGCCGTGTCCGTACTGTGTGACCAAGGAGATTACGATACGAAATAGTGCACTGTCGTGTGACCATCATTTCCAGTATCACTATTTATCTCCATTCAGCTTTTGCATTATTGTTACTAATCATAAAATCCATGATTAGTAGCAGATGTCTCCAGTTTAGTTACACAGGACGAGGTTCAGTGCAAAAAGAAAACAAAAGATACAATGTTCGGAAGGAAGTCAAGGTGAGCTAAATGTAAAAAAAAAACAAATACTTGGTATGCACGTTAAGCGAGACTAAGTTTATAGTAATTTCAATTATTCATGGTAAGTGCAAAATATAATTGCACTTCGGTTAGTCTAAAAAAACTTTCCAGTGTTGGAAAATTGGAGTTTCTTTAAAATAACATCAACAGAAAATAATGAAGCGACAAGATTAGAAATTAAAACTTTTACTTTTAATGTAATAACTTTTTTTTTATATATAAGAATATAACATAACGTGATTACGTGAATGAACGCAATAATGTATGCATATTATATTTTTTTAAATATTTGTCGCTATTTTTGAAATGTCGCTTGTGTGCAACAAATCAACAGGTTAATAACCGATTTTTGTATTTATGTAGTACTTTTTTATTGTACAATTTATCAGAAGAAGTTGAAATGCTTATTTTTATTTTATATGCAACATGAAACGTTAATAAAACTTTCTCATTTATGCACTTTGTGTATAGATTTTTATTTACAATAATATTACCAACTTTCAAAATATTCGTTTAATTTGATAAATTTATAACTTTAATAATATATGACAAATATCTGACAAATTGACAAAACAATTTGTCAATTTCATAATATTTTCTATAGGATATATAAAAATCGGGTCTTTTCTGGTGATGAAATAATATTGTGTATGGTAAATAGAATATATATTTTACGAATAGTATTAAGATGCATTATTTATAAAATACTATACCGAACATGTTTATATAATCTTCTAATGGATAATATAAGATCTTTTGTGTAACTATTATTCCTGATATGTTGTTAAAATATGTAGAATAACCAGTGGTTGCGATTTTCATTAGCGTTAACACGATAATATGGATTTTTAAACATATATGTATGTTTATTTTTTTTGTATTATAGTTTATAATAATGAAATAACTAGATAGATATTTATCTACTGTCTGATACAAACTATTATCGGTCTAAGTTGACTTTATCTAATTGTATTATTACGCAAATAAGCACTCACGTACCTATTTTCATATTTATTTTAAACACGTTTAATTAATTACACATTTTTTAATTAGTTTTATTATAACATTTTGGATATTATATGTATTCCATAACATATCATTTTTATACAAAAATACAGAGCACAAAGAAGCTGAATCGAATTACCGAAATGAAAGTTAACTAAAGACCTTGAACAAATTAAGATTGGTTTGGAGGTTCTTAAAAAATGTAAATTCTCTAATTATTTATTTTCTTCTTACATTCGATGGAATTTCATTAATCAAGAATTGATTGCTCCATTTTTTTTTAAATTAATTTTAAAAGTTTTTTCATATCTAAAATAAACAGAAAAATATATTATGGATTGTGGAAATCAATTGAAATTGTATTTTTGTCTTTATAAACTTAACGTTCAGATTCTGATATGAATTGTTTGTATCGAACTAATAATTATTAGAAAAGAAATTCGATAAACTTGAAATTGTTATAGCTTCTGTAAATAGCAGCAGCAGTGCGCTTTCATTTAGAAAACGCATAAAATTAAAGTGAAAGATGAAATATAAGCATCTAGGCGTGTATGAGTCACATGATTATTTTGCAATTTGAACTATATATATTTTTTTTATCATAAATGATTTCATTTATATTTTGTTATTTCAGTAATAATAAAAAATATTTTGATTTTGTAATAATGAATACGAAATGTTTACCTTCTTTTGGTGTAATTTTTTTAGGGAGGCTTCGGACTCGTTGGCGGGATATGAACCGGTGATCAATCAGACTTCCAACGAGCTCCTGTACTTCGACGATGGAGATGGTGCGAATGGAGAGCTTCTTCCTAGCACCGAAGAAGTCCTAAAGATTTCCATCATTGGAATGACATGTCAGTCCTGCGTGAAATCAATTGAAGGAACAATCGGCAGCAAACCAGGCATCAACTCGATCAAGGTAGGGTCTACAACTGCGAATGAGAAGCAAATCAAAGAAGTCATACATGTGTATACATGCATGCTCTTATCACAATCAAGCGTTAGTCACATTACAACAATTCGAATTGCAGCTATTATAATAGAATCTGTTATCGGCAAGGCAAAATGTTTTAGTTGTTCTAATTTATCGCATTCGAGTTGTATTATTCACAGCCAATAGTGAGTGGTAAGTGGCCAATTGGCGCACGAGCCGGGCACTTGGTTTCTCCCTTGGGGAGGACGCGAAGAGTGGGACGCTATCAATCGCATCGATTATTGAGGCACGCGTCGGCCGATGACTCAAATACGAAGATATGGAATTGAGTTGTCATTTCTGCTGTTCCAGGTCGATCTGCAGGAAAAGAACGCGATCGTTTCATACGATCCGAACCAGTTAGAGCCTCAAGACATAGCAGACGCCATCGAAGATATGGGCTTCGAGGCTCCGCTTCCTCTTCTCGTTAGCGAATACGGAGTCAGCCAGTGCGAGGTGTACATTGATGGCATGACCTGTAATTCCTGCGTACAAACCATAGAAGGTAAATAAGAAAAAAGTTTAAATCAACGTGTAGAATGTGCTCAAATCATTTCCTTAACTTTCAGGCATGATATCCACCAATGAAGGAGTCAAGGAAATCAAAGTAAACCTTCAAGGGAAGCAGGGCATCATCAAATACGTATCGAGCATCATTACACCAGAAGAGATTAGTGAGCAAATCAACGATATGGGCTTCGATGCCTACGTAAAAAGTGTAGACGGCAAAATCGTTGAAAGGGAAAAAGGTATTTAAAGAATCCATTATTCATTAATATTGGAGAAACATAAGCATTTAAAAGATTACGCGCTCATAAAAAATTCAATAACTTATATGAAGTAAAAGTGCATGATTTTGATCCTACCAAAACAATATAATTTATGCGCTCGCGTTATCAGTGAAAACAATAATTAACGCCGTGACAATTTCACCGTCAATTCATTAAAACATGAAAATTTAAATCTGGCAAAAATGCTGCACAATGCACCAACAATATGCCTCATTCAAATTCAATTTCTATTATATTATTTTACCATTAATCCACCTACAATGAAAACATGTATAGATTAAAATATATAACAGGTTTATTTTGATGATAAATGTTAAGTAATATGTTTTATGGTTTGCTTTTGCTTTTAATTATATAGATTCTGAAGAAAAGAAATCCAATGTTTCTAAAGAAGCTGTGGGTAATGGATCCGTGGCTATCAATATAAAATTGCACACCTGCCAATTGCACGTGAAGGGGATGACGTGTGGATCCTGTGTCGCAGCTATCGAAAAGCACTGCTACAAAATAAATGGTAACCAAACTAAACGGTTAGAAAATAGTTTAATGTATTGTATTGTTTTGCAGGTTGTCACAAGATATTAGTAGCTCTTTTAGCTGCGAGGGCAGAGATCCAATACGATCCTTCTGTAGTAACTCCCGCCGAGTTAGCCGCCTCCATCACAGAACTCGGCTTTCCTGCTAGTGTTTTGCAAAGTAACGGAGCTGGAGAGGCCGAGGTAGACTTGAGGATCGAAGGAATGACCTGCTCTAGTTGCGTCCACAAAATTGAATCACACGTCAGTAAGATGGATGGCGTGATCAACGCGACCGTAGCTCTGACTACGCATAAGGGCAAATTTAGATATGATCCAGAGGTCACCGGACCTAGAAACATCATAGAGGCCATCGAGAGGCAAGGTTTCAAGGCCGAGCTTTTCATACGCGAGAAGGATGGTGATTACTTGCAACAGAAGCAGGAGATTCGTAAATGGAGAAATTCGTTCTTATTTTCGTTAACTTTCGGAGGACCGTGCATGGTCGCCATGATCTATTTCATGGCTTTAATGTCAGCTGGGGCTTCACATTCTGACATGTGCTGCGTTGTACCAGGTAATACTGTTTGATAAAAGCAAAGCACATGCATTAATTATATTAATTATCGTGTAGGTTTATCTTTGGAAAATCTGGTTATGTGGTCCTTATCAACTTTGGTACTAGTCTTCGGTGGACGTCACTTTTTCATCCAAGCTTACAAGGCGTTGAAACATCACACTACCAATATGGATGTGCTAATTGCTATGGCAACGTCCATATCTTACATCTACAGTGTGTGTGTTGTCACAGCCGCGATGATCTTGCAGCAACACACTTCTCCGCAGACGTTCTTCGATACACCACCCATGTTGCTAGTCTTCATTAGCTTGGGTCGATGGCTGGAACACATTGCTAAAGGAAAAACATCCGAAGCTTTGTCACGACTTCTGTCTTTGAAAGCCACCGAAGCAGTCCTAGTCACTTTGGGTCCTAAGAATAATATCGAAAAGGAACGCACCGTTAACGTGGATTTAGTGCAGAGGGGTGATTACCTGAAGGTAGTTCCCGGAGCCAAAGTCCCTGTGGACGGGAAAGTGATCCAAGGACAATCTATGTGCGACGAGAGCCTCATTACGGGCGAAAGTATGCCGGTGAATAAAAAGAAAGGCAGCTCAGTTATCGGCGGTTCGATTAATCAACACGGTCTTTTGGTAATGCAAGCCACCCATACCGGAGAAGCTACCACGCTTTCCCAAATTGTGAAACTCGTGGAAGAGGCGCAAACATCTAAGGCTCCCATTCAACAGTTGGCGGATCGTATCGCCGGTTACTTCGTTCCCATAGTTGTCTTCTTGGCTCTCCTCACGCTAGTAGTTTGGTCCATCATCGGATTCATCGACATCAGTTATCTTCCCATTTCAGAACACGAAAAACATTCCTTTAGCAAAACCGAATTGATTCTTCAATTCGTATTCAAGTAAGTTTACTTATACATTTAATTATTAAATAATTTACATTATTTAATTTTTTTTTGCAAGATGTGCTTTAAGCGTATTGGCCATTGCTTGCCCATGTGCTTTAGGTCTTGCCACTCCCACCGCGGTCATGGTAGGCACCGGTGTTGGAGCAACAAACGGTATCCTAATCAAGGGAGCCGAACCTCTGGAGAATGCACACAAAGTAAAAGCGATTCTTTTCGATAAAACCGGAACAATTACCAAGGGCCAACCGGAAGTGGCTGCGGTGTGGTTGCTGGGCGACCAATTAAGTCCATCGGTGATTTTTGCGGTGCTCGGTTGCGCGGAGAAGAACTCGGAACATCCAATTGCTTCATCCATTATTCGATTCGTCGAAGAGACCTTCCAATGCGAGGCTATAGGCAGCAGCAGCGACTTTCAAGCTGTTCCTGGATGCGGATTGCGTTGTAAGATAAGTGGCATCGAGCAAGTCATTTCGGCTGCTAAGAACTCCACGGAATTCTCGAGATTCTTAAGCGTGTGCGCTTCAGGAAGTTCCGGCATCATTACCTTAAATGATGTTGATGTAGAAGTTGCTAACACACAATCACTTAAATTAGGACAACTTATTGGTAAATATAATTGAATTTTAGTTTTGTTTTATTGTAATTTGTATATTTAGGAATGACGAATGACGATGAAAGCGATCCGAATTTTGTATACAACGTGATCGTGGGTAATCGTGAGTGGATGAATCGCAACGGTTTGATAGTCAGCGCCGATTTGGATAGGAAGATGATGGCTGAAGAGGAGCAAGGAAGATCGGCGGTTCTGTGCGCGATCAATGGTAACATTGTGGCGATGGTCAGCGTGGCGGATACCGTTAAACCTGAAGCTCATTTAGCCGTATACTCGTTGAAGAAGATGGGTCTCGAGGTTATTCTTTTAACCGGTGATAACAGGAAGACGGCTGCGAGCATAGCAAAACAAGTGGGCATCTCGAAAGTCTACGCTGAAGTGCTTCCATCCCACAAAGTTGCTAGAGTGCAGAAGTATTGATTGACTAAATTATATAATTTTCCACTTTTTTATATTCTTGTACATTTTCAGATTGCAAAGTAAAGGGATAAAGGTTTGTATGGTCGGTGACGGTATCAACGATTCACCTGCTTTGGCCCAAGCTGACGTTGGAATGGCAATTGCTTCTGGTACTGATGTTGCCGTGGAAGCCGCTCACGTCGTGCTGATGCGCAATGATCTTCTTGACGTGGTTGCCTGCTTAGAACTCAGCCGAAAAACTGTAAAGAGGATCAGACTGAATTTTTTATTAGCCAGCCTTTACAATCTATTATGTAAGTTTCAAAATTGCTTATATATTTGCAATATATAATATTTTAATAATTTATCTAAATAGGTATACCATTGGCTGCTGGTGTCTTCAGCACGTTTGGTTTTATGCTTGCCCCGTGGATGGCGAGCGGTGCCATGGCTCTTAGCAGCGTTTCAGTCGTAAGTAGTAGTTTATTGTTGAAGCTGTGGAAGAAGCCAACGAAAGAGCAACTCACAACAACGGAGTATCTAATGCTTCGGAACAACGTTGAATTGGATACGATATCCATCCACCGTGGCCTTGACGATATAGAGCAAACTAGTCCAACTACCCCAACTGGCCTCTCAAGGTATTATTAACATATCTCTTCAAGTTATTAAAAAACTCTTATTTTCTGCTTTTTACAGTGATTTGAAGTCATGAATGCGTTTATTTTTAATAGTGAATTTTATTAAGAGATTATGGAATCATAAGAGACAATGCATTTAATTTTATTCTACAAACCTTTCTCTTTTCTAAAAAAAAACAATCAAAACAAACCTATTCTAAGTAAAAAATAGTAAGTTTTTTTTGTAAAAAGTTATCACAGTGCAGTAATTAATTGACTAAATATTTTCATCTACATATACTAATTTTAGTTTTATTGTGATATATCATTTAGATACTGTTGTTTCTATTTTTAATTAACATGGATTTTATTATAATTGATTTGAATTAAATTCGTTTTTATGAGTGATGTACTCTAGTTTCAGTAAAAAATAATACGTATATCAAAAATCCTTCAATATTCCACAATCGATTCGTTATTAATGTACTTTCAACTAATCGATGTTCCCCTGTGATGTATAGACTATTGAACAAATATAATCGATTCATTGATTTTAATGGCCGTGTTGAATGGAATGCGGAAAGATTCAAGTAGTTTGGACTTTGGACTCTCATTATCTTTTGGTGTGCTGTTGAACGTTATCATCTTAGATATAATTTTATTTTTTTCTTGAAAATCATGGATTTTATGTTGGCAACGGATTTGTAATGATAATACGATCTTGATTTCATTTCCAGATTCCTGAACCGCAACAGACTCACAAGGGAGTATCTTCTGAACGGAGACCAAGAAGACGATGTCAGCGTCGACTTCAACGTCAAGCCACACAGCTCCCCATCTTGCGTTCTCTAAAATAATCTCATTCAATAATTATTATTACTTACTTAAATTTAAGTTCCACGCCAATTCGTTATTCGTTTCAACCTTTTCATGTGATTTATTTAAAAAGAAAACGCATCACAGTATTTTTATAGAATTTATTATATATGTAATATAATTATGTACTTATACAAATGGAAATGTATATAATATAAATAAAATAAGGACGACATATCTTAAATTATCTGTTTTGAGCAAAGGAAGTGAAGGAAAAGCAGCACAGGATAACATAATCGACTTTGGAAGTTGAATATGATTTAATTTTGTATACAAATACAAATTACACTTAAGTGGGCAAATGGAGCTTAAGTAAGTTTCTTCATAGCGTGGCGCAGTCCACTATAGAGAAAACAAAAGAAACGCAGCCGAAACGCAATAGGGAGCCGTGATGTAACAAAGCCGAACCTTCCCATCCTGCGCTGTTATTCTGCTCTTCGGGAGGCAAATGTCTGTTGCCCGATGTCCCCGTTACGCAGGAACACTCCTTCCCGAGATTCGAATCCATGGAGATCATTTTTGCGTCAGAATTCATACTCTTACACCTTCGCATTACCTTCAAAAATACATATAAGAAAATTAGAACTAATAATTTCAAATTAAAATTTAATTGGAATATGAAAAACACCTTTCTGCGCTTATCCACAATATCCCTAACTTGTTTATCCAATTCCGCTGATCTGTGATGATTCACCTTGTGCGGTCTTTCAATTACGTGATTCGAATAGAGCACGTTGTTCACGTAACTTCCGTGTTGCGAATAGTTCAGTAATTCGTATTGTTTAGTAAACTGAACAAACAATTGATTAATTAATTATAAAGTGTATTGCTAACAGTGTTGATTAATACCTCATCGAAGAATATAACGGCATGCTTAGGCGATACATTGTTGCAATGCCCGTAACGATCCAATTGGAGATGGTTTGCAGCACCTCTACCAATCGAGAGACTCCGATAACGCATTGAAAGAGCCTCTGGGAATCTAAAGACATCATCATTTTAATATATTATACACGAAACCAGTCTTTACCAGATTTACCTCGCAGACACTGTGGGTCTGTAACCCATGAAACTAGCGTCGTGTCTGATCTCGGTGCCATCGCTGCTCCGCACGTTGTAAAAGTATTTAGACACCACCGGACATAGCATAGCCCTGGCCCTCAAGCTGCTGACGCCAGAAGCTATAATCCTGCTACCGTTCCCCGAGTTCCTCTGCTTCTTAGGACTCGAAAACACCCTAGCTATTCTAAAAAAACGAAAACCCATCAATTGAAGCATATCTCTACACACAACTTTGATTAGTACCTCTCAATATCAGCTGCTGTTAGAAGCTGGCTTGGCAGTGGCATGTTGCAATTCCTTAATACGGATTGCAAACTGCTGGAATGGGCTTGAGATAGATAAGCTGAGAGCTGGTAGGACTCTTCAGTGTGCTGCTGAGTGTACAAAATCTGTTGGATCCGTTGCAACGCCAACAGCTTTAGCACCCGATCGTCGATCTGTCGCAGCTCGCGTTCGGCTTTTAAACAAAATCAAACGTCAGAAAACAACTATACAACCTCTTTCCAGGGCTCGCGTTTGAAAACAATTGAAGTTTGTTTATTTAATAGCAAAAAAAAAACAACAAAAACAAACTTTAGCAAATCGAAACAATGTATAAATCAGAACTTTACTGCACTGTAATCAACATTTAATGATTTCAAGAACAATGGCAAAAGAAAACAAAAATACATTCAAATTAAATTCATGTTTTACACAAAGTATACTTATTGGTATCTTTCTCTTTAACAAATGTACGTTGGCAGCAGCCTTAAAAATTACTAATCAGCTGTTATGAAACGTCATTTGATTTGATATGAATCACTTAATTTTGCAAAATTTCAGAACATTCATTTGAAAAGCTACTTCTTCTAGATTTTTATAACCCATTGTTTTTTCTTCATTAATTAAAAAATAGCAATTGCTAAAGTGAAGGAATATTAATTTTATGGTTTGTCTTCTATAGTATAGTAACATACCTTCCATCAATTCAAATGAATTATCTGAAATGTAATCGCATCCATTATAGGGCAAACATTTCTCCTCGTGATGTTCGCGTTTAACTTCCTCCTTAATCTCTACTACCTCCTCCTTCGTCGTCTTCTCAACACTTCGTTTAAATTTCTCCTCCTTTAATACTTGCTCCAAAAACTCGCCAGCCTCATTTGTTAACTCGAAAACGTTCTCCTGGACATCTTCCTTGTCCACCTCCATTTCAGTGACCATCTCAACATCATCCTCAGTCATATCAACAGTCTCCATAACATCGTCACATCTTTCTTCAGACACAATCTCCACATCATCCGAGACACTTTTAATCTCGTCCTCCTTCATCTGATCCACTTCCTGCTTGATAATCTCAAAAATTTCCCTATTTACTACAGTATTCAATCTGAGGACATCTCTGAGGGATGGCAATAAAGCTATTGGCTTCCTGTAATGCATTTTCACCATCATAGGAACTGAGACTCTCCTCCTGGTGCTCATTTTCACCTTAAACCTAAACGGCGGATTGGATCTATGCACGCGCCGAAAGAATTCTAATTTTATTGCATCTTGATCAACTGGCTGATGGGCGTACTGCGCCCATAGACGATTTCTTTCTGTTGCTGAGGATGATGTCAAGAGCTTGGAATCAAGGATGTGCTGAACGTGATTGGGGCACATCCATCTGTCCGATGGTGGAGTTGCCAATGGCGGATCCAAGCAATCCAAATGGAAAAACAATGGACAAAAATCACACGATATCAACGTTCCGCTTCTGCATGTTTTTGAGCACACGTAACATTTGCTTGACGGCAAAGCAGTGTCTTTGCGATTTGCTGTACTTGTGCTTGCAGTGGTGGGTGGTCTCTTCCCAGCCCTGAACTTTTCAACTAAAATTATTTTCCATAAAATACAACTTCAATTTGAAATAAATTAATTACCTTTATCAGTGCCTGGAAAGTAGCAGGGCTCCATCATGTGCCTGGGCAATTCAAACTGTTTTGGATTCTCTAAACTGGCAGCCCGTATCAGAAGTGCCATTGAGTTTGTTGTCTTTGATTGCATAGATTTCAGACTTTTATTACGACAGCTATGGCACAGCCATTCACCTTCTGGAATATCATGTTCTTCTAAAGGTGGATTACTAATTTTTTAAAAAAATGGAATATATTACTTACAATATAGAGTGCAATAAAATATAGAGATAAAATAACTTACTGACATTGTAAATGAAAGCTAAATGGGCATTTATCACAGCAAATTAAATCACCACCCTCACCACAGCTATCACACAGATCATGATTGTGGCCCCTGCCTGGCCTCTTATAATATGGATGATTCTTTTGTGCAGCCTTAGCTGCTGCACTTGTAGATGCTTTATCTTCACTCACTGGAGGTGCAATTAAGGCTTGCACTTGCTATAAATACATGAAAAAAACAGTATAAAAAGTGTACTTGTATAATCATTGAGAACCAAGTTTGCCTTACAGCCATCAGCCCTCCAGATCCATCCAGTTCATAATCCACATTAGCCATAGTTTCTAAGTACTTAAATAAAATTTGTACAATACTTTACATGAGTTAAAACTATTTAGAAAGGCAAGAGCATTTACAGCATTCCTATACATGTAGATACACCACTCGATCACAGCACACATTAACAACACCGAAATTTACATTAACTTTTGAGTTCGTTACTATTGAATTAAACGAGGTTATTGACTAAATAATACAATTAAAATAATAATCTAAATTGACAACCATTTCGGTGTATTGTAAATATATCAACTGAAAGAGCATTCTATATAGGCAACCAAACTTGCACAAATTCATGTTTTACAATAACAGTTTGAACATAAGAATCAGTTAAATATACATAATGAATGTATGTAGATTATGAATAAGTTCTATCAATTAATTATATTATAATTTATTTAATCTTTTGTTACAAATCATTTGCTATTTAAGAAATCTAGAGTAGTCTTCAAAAATTCCGCTGGTTTTTCGCTATGCAACCAATGTCCGGCTCCATCAATGTAATGGAATTTTGCAGCAGGGAATATCTTCTTGATTTGCCTGTGATCATTTTTCCTACAACATATAATTAAGTTGACTACTTTATGTTTTCAAATACATTATTACTGGATGTAGTCTGAAGCTCCTCCACCGACGAATAGTACTGGTCCACCGAAAGTGAGATCATTTGTAGAGGGAAAAGCAGCTATATTATTTTTAAAATTGGCCACTAAAGCTTGGATGTTGATTCTCCAGGCGAAACTAGAATAAATCAACAATAAAATATTGTTTTATTTTGTATACATGAATCACCTTCCGTCCGATTTCTGTATCAAGTTCGTGAGCAAAAACTGACGCAAACCTTTGTCGCTGATTTTCGTTGCTAGCTGCATCTCGACTTTGTTCCTGGCTGTGGACATCGCTCCGCTTTTCGGTAGGTTCGTGGTCAACATGAGATCAAAGAGACCTGGCATAGAGCTCAAGCTGGGACTGGTCTGTACCGGGGAAATATCCGCAACTATGAGCTTATCCACCATTTCTGGCTTTTAAAGAAAATCATTAATATGCAGTGATTTAATTTACTGATATGTTTGACGCTTACATAATGCAATGAGAATAGCATCATGGCCCTTCCGCCCATGGAGTGACCCATGAGGGAAGCTTTCTTTATTTTGAATGAGTCCATGAAGGCTTTGATATCTTCAGCTAAATGGCGATAGGTATGTTCTGAAGAGTGCGGGCTATCGCCATGGTTTCTAGCGTCGACAGCGAAGATCTTCCTAGGTGGAAGGGTCTTTTGGTGGTATACTTTACACAAACTGTTCCAATTTCCTTTTGAACCAAATAAACCATGCATTATGACTAGTGGTGGAGGTCCTTCAACCCCTGAGGTGGCCTCGTATGAGGCGAAAGCCAATTTTACCGGTTCTACATTACTTTTCGGATTAGCTTTGGTTGAAAATGCAGCTTTATGATAAATAGACTTTAAAGAACTTCGGACAGTAGTAAATAACATATTTCTTACTAATAATTTGGACAACTTGTAGGTTAATTGTGAAGTTGACAAACGTTCTATACGCAACTGTTACGTAATTGTGAGGGGTGGATTCAATTTAACGATAATCTAAAATTGAGATATCTTTATTTAATGAATTAAAATTTAAAGAAACAATTCGAATTTCTTCAGTAAACAAAGATTCAAATATATTTAAATTTTTAGAGCTTTGCTTCCACTGGTTCTGTATCTGGAGCAGATGGCGCTAGAATCAGACAATCTCTAGTTCTGGCTGTCACAAGAGTGCTTTGGTTAGGTTATTATTACGTGGCCAAATAATAAATACAAGCTAATGGTCTTATAGTTTATGGAAAGCATAGCAAAATGTTATCCAAATTTATCTGTGTTCTCGTAATCCTGGGCTCGTTGCTCGGCTCATCTTTGGCGTATTTTATAACTGTGGACGCTCACGCTGAAGAATGTTTCTTTGATAAAGTGGAGGCTGGCACCAAGATGGGTAAGTCCTTGACCATAACATTGAGTGCTTCTAGAAATATATTAATAACGTCTTTTATTTTTAGGTCTCACTTTTGAAATTGCTGAAGGTGGTTTCTTGGACATTGATTTCCGTATTGTAGGCCCAGATGGTGCAGTCATCCACCAGGGTGAAAGAGAAAGTTCTGGAAAATACACATTTGCTGCACATGTTCCAGGTGTTTACACCTATTGTTTCTCTAATAAGATGTCCACTATGACTCCAAAAGTTGTCATGTTCAATATGGCCATTGGAGAACCTCCAAAACCAGAAGAGAATGGTGAAGGAGAAAGTGCCACCAAGTTGGAGGATATGATCAAGGAATTGAGTGGTAATGCAAACCAAAATTTATAAAATAAAACGAAATGATAATAACCATTTTATGTTGCAGGAGCTTTGGCTAGCGTAAAGCATGAGCAAGAATATATGCAGGTCAGGGATAGAATCCACAGATCCATAAACGATAGCACAAACTCCAGGGTAGTCCTGTGGTCCTTCTTCGAGGCTGTAGTACTAGTATGCATGACCGTCGGCGAGGTTTACTACCTGAAACGATTCTTCGAAGTTCGAATGGTCGTCTAAAACAATAATATCTATATATATATGAATAATATTTATATATGAACGGTTTTTCTCAATTAATTTTATGTTACAACTGAAAGAAAAACTTTCTGCATGAGTGTGTGAAACTGAATGTATGTCAAATTTTGTAAACTAGATCTTGTTTATTTCCATCCTTTTTTGTAATAAAGTTAATACAAACTTGAACTACTTGTATCTCCATATAATCCTTCACATCATCAAATAATAAAAGTTTGTATTGTGGTTTCTAAGCGATTGTTGCAATAAGAATATCGAATTGAAATAGATTTTATTTTATGAAATATTAATTTCTGTATTTCCGGTTTTCCGATTAAAAATTATTGACGCAACCCAATGTACGCATTAATAATGCGCGAATTCGGAAACAATAGAATTTATGAAGCGGGCGGCGTTAATTCCGTACGTCTTGTTTTGATTATAAAAGAGAACGCTCTCTGGTGTCAATAGCACGTTACAAACACAAATGCCCTAGAAAACTTGGGTTGTCATGTCAAAATTGTGCAAGTTATTCTAAGAGGTCCTGTATTTTGGATAGAAGAGATTTGCAATTCCCAATTTACATTGTAATAAACATTCAGTAATAGAGGAGGAAGTATGAGTGTGGTGAGGGAGAAATGTGAGAACTTCACAAACATACCGATAAACAACTTGGAGAGTACCAAAGTTATAACACCTGATGATGTGCTGAGGCTGTGTAAAGTCACAGATTCTTACCTGTGCACTCCTGAGGCTAACATCTATGACATAGACTTTACCAGGTTCAAAATTAGAGACCTGGAGAGTGGTGCTGTTCTCTTTGAGATAGCCAAACCCACACCAGAGAATGCTGATGAGAATGCAGAGAAGAATGGTGAGGGGGATGAAGCCATTGACCCAAATGCTGGAAGATTTGTTCGATACCAATTTACTCCACAATTTTTGAAACTTAAGACTGTTGGTGCTACGTAAGTTGTAAAATCATATTTTATCATTTTTATATGAATATTATATTTGTATCATGTTTATCTCTATTTAATTTATTAACTGTAATCATAACAATAGCTTTTGGTTTATAACTTATGTATATTATCTTTGAATAACACAATTTTAAGTAATTGTGTTGTTTAAACCAATATTTTTAATAAAATCAAAATATACACCTTTAAGTAATTTCTTAAGGATTTTGTCAGGTATTCAATCTAGTCAGGCTAGTTTCCTATAATCTACATTCCATAAACCTAATTGTATAAAATTAAAAGTTGTTCAATTAGAAAGAAGATTATATTTTATTAGTTTCTAAACTTGCTTTTGGTCATAAAATTATATACTGTATAAATTATATACTGTTCATTGTTCTACTTTTGAAATTTACTCAATAATAATCTAGAATTTGCTACAATGTAGATAATACTATAAACATCTATGTTTTTTTTTCAGTGTTGAGTTTACGGTTGGAAGCAAACCAGTGAATAGATTTCGTATGATCGAGAAACATTTCTTTCGTGATAAGCTTCTGAAGACATTCGACTTCGAGTTCGGTTTTTGCATTCCATTTTCTCGAAACACTTGCGAACACATCTATGAGTTTCCGACACTACCCGATGATCTCGGTAAGATTTCTTTACACTTTGTACCAAAGTTTAGTAAAACCTCGTTTAACGCTTCCTAAGCTCTAAACAAAACACTGTTGTACTCCTCTGTATACTTTAATATGAGATATTTTGAGAATTTTGGTATAGAAAAAATAGACATCTCAAAGCAAAATATTGCTCGCTCGCGCGGCTCGTATCTCAAAACACTCGTATATTAGGGCACTCGTATATCGAGGTACCACTGCAATTTATTTTATAGAAATAAAAAACGCAATTAGATAAGACAAACATATAAATTTATTTATATGTATTGACAATTATACAAACAATAATTATAAAATTTAAATCTTAAAAATAATTATTCTATTATATCATTCAATGCTATCTCTAAACATATGAAAACAATAAACAAAGTTTTTTACACAATAAGATACAAAAGGTTATTTTGTTCTTTTGATGGTCCTCTGCTACTTAGCAGTCCTATCAACGCAAAACATAGAGATTAGTGAATAGTACTTTTGATTCCTTTATATAAAGTACACCGGACAGCAGTTTTATTTTTGTCATGATATAGGCTCATTAATCCCATTCCCTATATTTGTATCATGAATATTATTTGCTTACTGTTATTATATTTCTCGGAATACTACCCAACTCTGCTGAAGACTATTGCAATAACATATCTGACTATGTCACCAATCAAATATCTGGCTCATCTCTAAACCATTTTATACTCATTTTCCAAGGTCATGGGCACATCTTAATTGGCTGCAACAATATTACCATTATATACTAAAACATATACTAAATATGAAAATTTAGAGCTTTTCTGGGCTTCGCTTAATCGAAGAAACGCTAAACGAGGTCTTACCGTACATGAGAACTTATAAAAAAAAAATTATAAATGTGAACATTACTAAACTTATTACATTTATACTGATTTGTTCGCTCCACCTACTTTGCCTGAAGTTCTACCTTATCCATCATACACATTTCAATAGTTTGTATTTTGTTTTTTTTTCAGTGAAGGAAATGATAGCTTCGCCTTTTGAAACTCGTTCGGACAGTTTCTACTTCGTCGACGATTGTCTCATTATGCACAATAAGGCTGATTACGCTTATAACGGCGGCCAGTCCACGTAACTAGGAGTCGCCAATGCAGCGGACAGGATTGCAATAAAACACCACTTTTAATAATTGTTACAAGAACACGGAAAACCAGCAACACAAAAGTACACGATTTCTATTAAACAAAACTAAAAGAGGAGAGTCCGCTTTGTCCATCTGATTAATTGAATTTTGATTTGAAAAAGAACAAAAAAAAATCTTGATTTCCAATTGAAACTTCGCCTTTCGTGTGGTTGCACTGACATTTTTTGAATCTTTAAAACTGTGAGGACAATATTTCTCTTTGATCACGTTCGATTCAGTTTCCATTTATTTATTTTTAATATTCGACAAGCTGGGAGCACAAGGTATATAAATAAAATTATATATAAAAATGGAACACGTGTGGCACAAATTGTTTGAGAGAATTTAGCATGGATTAGTTAAGGGTTTTAAACGTGGAAAGAAGGAGAAGAAAATGTAATTCAGGACAATATTTACAAGCACGATGATGAGGACGACGACTACTACTATGAGACCGGTTTTTCTTATTGATAATATTTCGTTGTTGTTTTCTTTTAGTTTTCGATGTACCACAAAATTGCTTTAAGAGACTCGCCGCATTCACAGTTGAAATTGAGATGAGATATTCTCCGAAGAATGGTAAAATTGCGTAGAGTAAAGAAGCTTCTTGTGTTTTTTTTTACTAGAGCCGAAAGAGATATTTTTAGAAACGACCCTGCCGCGTACATTTGGACAGGACAAGCGAATCAGATTAGGTAAGAAATGATTTATCCTGAGGAAGAAAAAAAATAAAAATAACGAGAAATAAAACAATGTTTAAAAATATCTATTTAATGTTGGTTCGTATTATATTTACAATAATTATTATATCTAGTTTATCTCTCGTGTGAGCACACCAGTCTTAGGAGATTCTAGAGTGGCTTTAATTGATGAAAAAAAAAATGGATTGAAAACTATACCAAATTATTATGCATCTAGCGAAAGTTTCCCATTGTAAATTAGCCGTGATGTTTAGGGATTCCCGAGTTGCCTCTTCTATATTATTAATTATATTGATTCAGTAACTGGTTTCTTGGAGAAGGGAATTCAGCTATCCTTTGTGCAGTATTATTTCGTCTAGCATTTAACGCATTTCTCTCTTATTGTGATTAAACTCTTCATAACCATTTTGTTACTTGATTATTTTTTTTAAAATATTTTTTTGTTTGTTATTGTGAAAGTACTTCAAATAAATTTTGTTTTGACTGACAATTTTTTATGCTTTTGTTTATTTATTTAAAAAATAACCATTTTTTATTTCGTTATTGGTAAGTTGAAAGACACTTCAGAGTGCGAGTATTCGGTTCCACTAATATCCAGGACGCCGGATTAATCCAGGAATTAAATAAAACATAAATAAACCGTACAAGAAGAGACTTTACTTATAAAGGAAAATCATCTATGTATAATAAAAATAATTTTGTGTACTAATTTTAGAATTTATTTTTATTTTGCTCAAATAAAATTTAGTTTGTTTTGAATTTTGGTAAACTGAATAGCTATAAATAGAAGTAAACACAGTGATTGATTATCGTAAATTCTGTAAATTACAATAAGTAGATAATTTAGCAAGAGACAAAAGGAAAGAAAACAAGATTTTAGTGAGTTCATTTGGCAAAAACAGGATTCCATTATAATCAGTTTCGATGGTTCATATGTTTTTGCTGCAAATTAGAGGTAGAAAAATAACAGAAGTGTTAGTTGTCACTATTATTCGCAATTTATTTTAACTTATTTTATTTACGAAAAAACGATATAAATAAAAAAAACATCTATATGAAAAGAAATGCAACAATAAAGTCTTATATAAATTGGTTTTTTTGAAACATTTGTAGTTTTCGGTATTAATTCAAATATACTTAAGTTTAGTTATTGGAAAGAAACACACATTGGCACATAATTGTAACGATTAATTAGATTTCGGAGATTCAAATTGGAATCATAATGATGAAGGTTTTTTTTATTTTCTAGGGCCGTATTTGCATATTAAAAGAGATATAGATTTTGATTTGAATCCACAGCAGTAAAAAGTTGAAACTAAAACAACCGATGTATTTACAATGCGATATAAACAAGTATAAAATGTTTATATTACTTGATTAATTTTCATTCGCAATACGTATTTATATATGTCAGGGTCATATATTTTTTTCTTATTTTCAATTTCATGAGTTGATTTGAATATCGTAATGGCAATGAACTTAATTAATTAAGTTATTAATCAAGTATATGAATACATTTAAACTTGTTTATGTGAATGATACTAAGTGATCGATGTGTTATTGTTTTTGCTCCTTGAAATCCATTCAAGATGAAGAATAAATATCGCAGTGATAAGATTCTTTCGCGACGTCATTTGTTGAATGAGTTTGTAAATAGATTTCTTATTTGCAAGACTGATTATTAAATCAGTAACAGTGTTTTGGTTCATATTTCTTAAGAAACGAATAAATAAATAGTCGTAATATCAAATTGCCGTTGAAAAATAATCTATTCTCAAGATTTTACATATATACAGGGCATGCCACAAAACGTAAAGCCTTTAAACACATGTCGATTCCATCTTAAATTCCTATGACTTGGTGTTACGTTCAATAAACTCGAGCGTTCGAAAATGTATTTGAAATGAATACAATTTTCGTCGGTGGAGTCGTGAAAATACATGACTACGAGAACTCATTTAAAATCTAATACGTAATTTGTTCTACAAAGAATTCTTACATAATAGCTTTGGCCAAAAAACTAAACAATTTTGATTTGTTGTCTTTTACACCTAAAGAAATAAATAGATGAATATATAAGAACGTAAGAATGAGCATTATTTGTAATATAATCAATAAAAAGACAACCCTGCATTGAAAGCTGTTCGTTTTTTTTAGTATATAAGGAAGCAGTAAAAAGTTTCCGTATCAAATATTATTAATATCCTGTTTAAAAATTAAGATATCTTTACTTAAGGATAAAAAACTATTGCACTGAAGCCCCCGCGTAGAAAACCTCCTCGAAGCCTTCTTTATTTCGAGTGGGAAAATGTTCAATCAATCATCGTCGAGTTCTAAATCCAACTCGATGTCTTGTCTGTCCATCTTCTGTAGCGTGTTAATCATTTGGTACCGGGAAAACCGCAGAAAGAGCTTTCGAAACCACACGTATTGCGATTGGTGCTGCTGCATCGCCCTCTTCAGCAAACACCTATCGGTATTGGTAGCAATATACCTGCAACGGAATCAGCTTTAATATTTCTATTTTAAACTAAAATCATAGTTTACCTTATCCTGGATAATATGTAACTTATTGGAATATCTAATAATAACCAATATTTCCTAACTATATTTACTGATTCAAGTACATAAACGTTACAACCTGAAAATAAATTAAATGAAATTGTATTAGATTTTTAATTGGTCGTCTCTTGAAGTGATATTATTACTATTGGGTAATTGCTTAGTTGTACTTAGATGTGCCACAGCAAAGTATAAACTGCAGTGGTTCAAATGCCTGCTGATTCCATGTTTATCAAAGGTGATTAAAGTGTCTATGTCATAAAGGGCGACTTGGTGGAGGATTAACTGAGCTGCTATCTCTGCAGGCCATTTGACACTCATGGAGTCTGGTAAATAGGAGTGATTTTGTACTATGATGCATTCCTCTTTGATCCCCAGCACCTTGCAAGCTGCATACAGTTCTCTCTTCCTAATGGTACCCATTCCATAATTTTTGCCTGAAATCAGAACTTTAGCAGAACTGGATGCATCAGTACAGGTATTGATGTTATTTACCAGTTGAAAGACACATCAGGTATACTAAACAGCCGGGTCTGCGTGTGAAGTTGAGTACCGTCGGCCCGAAGAACATGCACTCATCATCTGGGTGTGCGATCACGAAGAGCACGCGTTTCGGAGTCACTTTTACGTCTTTTCGAAAACTTAAAAGCTTCCATTGCATAATGAGCAGATAAAGAAGCAGGCATAATATGATGTAGAAGATCAGGAAAAGGAGTAGGTGCTCCAGGACTTCGTTTAAATAGGTCCGTAATTCCAATTGGATCGACTTGAACCAACCGATTATGGGGATCCACCGCGACTGAAGCCAAGAGAAATCTTGGCTCATAGCTTCCTCAGGAGTTATATTTAGAAAGAACGACCATTCCTTGCATTGCTCGACTCCAGTATAAATAGAGGACCCACTGTTTTCCTTCTCCGCAAAGTTATTTATAAGCTCCACTTTCTGACATTTAAGGTTAGGTTACATCACGGGATAAATGTCAGAAAAGAAATAATTAAATCCGAAGAAAACTGGAGAAAATTGCAAGAATTTCTGACTCTAATTTCCTCAATAAACAAAACTCTCATTGATAATTTTAAATTAATTTTAATATAAACAGTATAATTAAAAATGTTGTATAAACAAAAACTTTTCTACTCTTTAGGACAATGTCATAAAGTTCACTATTTTAGACTATTTCAAAAATATAATACTTTCATTTTTATTTCAAGAAAGTATTCTATTAATATAAACTCTACGTTGGTGGCCAAACAAAAAAATGAACAAATCCAACGGAAATACACTTTTAAATTTGTCATAAAAGGAAACAATATAAGTATATATAAGTTATTTATTATACAATATAAATTCTTCTTCTTATTTCAATAATGAGCTTCCGTCCACTTCCGTCTGGAAACTCCTCCACATTTAGCTAGGTCCTGTTTACGCCGTATCTACAATATTAAAAGCAATTAAAAGGTGAGTATCAGGTCGAAATCTCTGCAAAACCAGGAAGTATAAAACATATTTTTTTTTTCTTCCGCCTTCTACCTCCCTCTAGGAGGAATAAAACATAAATATAAATGGCATTTACAAATTATTATTTTTTAATTTTCATATGTTGGCACCTCGTGGTAAACAATAGATCCATGAGATCCATTTTGACACTTTATTAATTTTGACAGATATTTGTATTTTCATTTTACTGTTTGTTTACTGCATGGGAAAGTATGTTAAACATCGAAAAACAGATATCTGGACGAGATAATTAAATAATTGAAATATGGATGTGGATTTGCTGCGGCCAGGCACGGTGCCAATATCGCCGGACACCGTCTTGTGGTTCGAGTTTTTGTTGGACAAAAACTTGTTGCTGAGGCATTTGAATAAACCTAATCCAGGTTAGTGTTTTTAGTATACATCAACATTGTGTATAAACTTAAATGTGATTTGATTTTAGATCCAACTCCAATAGAGTTGATAACCAAATTTACAACTGCCATTTACGAGTCCATGAAATATGAAGTGAAGAAACCTGAAGCAGAATCAAATGATTTAGGAAACAGCTTAGAGATCAGTGATTCTCAGCCTAAATTATCATTAAGGGTGATTGCTTTAAAAATATTAACACTTAAAGTTGCTTCATATTTAAAGTGGAATCCAGGTAATACATATTTCTGTTGTGATTAACAAAAATAATTTATATCCATTTTTAGTTACCTTAAGAGCATTGCAGTTCAAATGTCAACATAGTGTCTTGCAAGATTTACTTTACTACACAAATAATGAAATTACGGTGGAAATCCCAAATGTTGTTACCAATGATACAACACCCCAGTATTCATTTGCACTTGTTGTCTACCATAGATGGTTCATTGGTACATGCATGCACAGAATATTGAATAATTCTCAAAACAGGTTTGAAAAAGTGTTCTTTTTTTAATGAAATGACATGTTTAATAATCTAATGTTTTATAGAAATAATAGTGATATAACAGCAATGGAAGAGAACATGATGTGCACGCCTGAAAACATCGAAAAAAGTTTAAATTTCTTGATAAGCGCTTTGCAATGGGAACATGTACCTCCTATGCTTGGTTACAATTGTTTCGTATTGTTAACGGAGGGTTCCAGGGAGACGCAATTCGAATGGAACGAAGCTGTACCTATTTCCAAAGAGGAATTTAAGTCGCAGATCCACTATGATTTAGGCGCATTCTACTTCTATAAGGAAAATTACGAAACGGCTTTCAAAAATTTCAAACAATCGGTTAACTATTTCAAGGAAATTAAAGACAACAAAGGCTTCTGTAGCGTTGATTACGACTGCCTGGAGAGTTATTTATTTGCATGTAATTACTCTGAGAATAGCGGAAATATATCCTTGTTACAGCAGATGAGCAATTCCATAGTCAATCAATACACAGTAAGTGTTTATAATTTGAAATGTATTTTGTTTTAATTGTCCTTGTTTTTAGGGAATTTTAAATATATTAATTCAGGACAATAAATTAAGAGAAATTCCATTAGTGCATAGGGTTACCTTAGAGTTGGATATACAAGGAGCCCTTTCCAGTGGGAAATTCACTGTAGCCAGAGACTTATTACCAAAAATTCAAGCACTGAATGCAGTTAGATGTATCTTAAGTAGAAATGCGACTCACCAATACAACTATAAAACTTCAAAGGCTTTAGAATTTTTCATTTGGGTATATAATTGAAGATGAAAGATGTTCTAGGAATCTTAAAATATTTAATTTCAGGCAACAGCAGCTGTTTGGAGTTCAACGAGTGAACTAGACAAAAGGTTACTTGCAACGCACTACATGCAATTGATCATAAATTTGGAATCAGAATCATTACTGGATACATTATTGAATCACGATATATTAAATAATATTTTCGATGACGTTGATGTGGACCAATTGAGACAAACTGTTTCGAAAATCGTTGAAATTCCTTCACTGTTACAGAATTTAAATTGGAATCTACCGGATGTAAAAAGTAATAGGATTATTATATTGTTTTTGTAGACATAAATTTAACGTTATTTGTTTTAGGGAATCCAAAACTAGATCTCAGGTTAATAGAGCAACAATTGATATCATCATACGATTCAAAAGAGATTCGTGATCTGTTAGTAAAGGTGAATTGCAAGAATTCAAACAGATTAGCTTGGAAAATCAACCCCAAATGGGAATTACCCATACCGCTTCATAGCGTTGTCACATCAATTTCAAGAGGTTTTCTTTTACAAACTGAAATTGTGTATCCTTATAAATTATTTTTTCTGTTTTAGGATTTATACAAGATTTCAGTTATGTAATGCTTGCTAAATCCAAGGAGCTAATGCTTGCTAAGGATTGGGGAACGTCTATAGAATTTCTAAGACTGCTCGAGAAGGAAATTCAGAATAATCAAAGTCTAATCAAATTAGCTCATCTGATAAACTGGGAAATACTTTTGGTACAAATAACTCAGTTATTGGAAGATTGGCCGGCGCCTCATATCGGTAATCATTTATCAATTATTTTAATAGATTATAATAATTATATTTATTTCTCTTTCAGATCGACAAGCTTTATGGCAGGCATGTGAAAACTGTTTGAAAACCGAATCGGTCTTTCCACGTACTGAAATCATCGAGCAATGTGTTTTGTGTTTATTGAATATTGGACGTTGGGAATTTTTAATTTCTTTCGAAAAGCCCTGGAGTTACGTAGACATCGCCGCATCTATTGTCATATGCTGTCAAGATCTTTTGAAACATAAACGGCAGAAAAAAGTTAATAAAGATCTATGGGATTTAAGTAAGTTCTTTTTCTAAATGTCTATTGGAAACTTTGATTATCATGATTTTCGATTTCAGTTGTGCCAATATTCAGTGTGTCATCATCGTCTTCTAAAAGAAGTAGCACAGGGAATACGAACATTATACATAGAGATTCACCTATTAATAACAGAAAGATTCAATTTATATCCTTCTTCTGTAAGCTTCGAGATGCCACTGTTCTTAGCGTAATAATCGCTATTTTATCAAAGTTGTACAACATATTAAGAGACGATAGTAATTTGGAAGTATCCATTGATACTTTATTGATATTACCATCATCATTAAGCAAGTACGTTTTTGTAGTTAGATGTGATTATACTAATATAATATTTAATCTAATATTTGTTATTGTTTTCAGTATAAATTCATATAATTTAAGTTCAGTGGCAGATACTCTTTATGAGATAGTACTTCAGGCTTTGACGTACTTTCCAAGTAGTTTACAATGGCTGCGAGTAATGGGAGATATTAATTTTTGTGAGTATATTTATATAATTTATTAATATTATGGCTATATTCATTTTTTTAGCAAATTCAAATTACGAGAATGCGCTGAAGTATTATTTGCAAACTCTTGTCGTATCTTCGGATTATTTTAATATGCCAGTGAGGAATGATGAACATGTGTTTAGGAGGATGATAAAGTGTTGCACGCAGTTGGGATGCCATACGCAGGCAGCTGTCCTGTGTCAGTTTTCCGACGACCCTGATTACACGTTTGCATTCAGAAGTTTAGTGGATTTCAAATTTTGTAATGATTCGGTTGAAGCTTATTACCACTGTTTCTGGGATATAAATATACTGGAATATCTAGTGCATTTCCACCATAAACGTGGAGAATTTCAGCGGAGGAAGAAAGCGATGCACACACTCGGACAACTTGAGCTGAATTCCAGCAACAACGAAGAGATTCAAAGGGAAGCAATTAATTTGAGGAAGAGAACTTTCTTACAGGCCATGTGTAAACAGTACGTATTTTAACTTTCTTGTAAAGATGACATACAACAATGTTTTATAAAAAATGTACTAAACTAGATTAAGAATTACAGTTTAAATTTATTATCTTTTTATTGATAACCCAGTCTAAAGTAATCAATGAGCTACAATCGTTTTTTTTTTCTAGTAGCAAACAAATAAATAAATGCGTTCAAAAAGGAATATATTAGGTATAACAGAGAAAAAAGATACATATTATTTATACATAAATTGAATAATATACAATGTTGCCATTTACATGATACAAAATAAAAGTTTTTGTAAGTTTTAAAAATAATCCTAGTACTCACCAGAGAAAGAAATAAAATCAAATAAAAAAATAGAGGGGAAATTGCTGAAATATTGTGTGAACGAACTTCAATTAAATTGAATTAATTCTACTTGCCATTTATCAAATTACTGAAGTTTCCGGTTAAGTGAGCATTATGAATTTAAAAGGTGCGGTTTGTCTACGAATTCAGGGCCGTACCTGTAAATCGTGGCAGTGGTTGCAGCAACCATAGAACCCCAGAATAACAGGAACAGTAATTGTTCGGTAGTGTATTCCGATGGTAGAATAGCGCAAGTGACGAACATAGCTAAAGCTACTAACAGTACAGATGGGAATGTCGCGTACTTCCAATCCCTTTCAGCGCGCAACGGGCTACGGAGATCAGCTAAACCGTGAAACACATCTAAGGAATCTTGCCGAAAACCATCCATGAAGTTGTTCTTGTAGTAACGGATCAATGAATTCATTCCATCGCGCATCAAACCCATGTGCGTTCTCTTTCCGGTCCTCGTGTAATCCGTTTTCAGGGCTCCAGTCCCAGAGTATTGAATACTAATGAAATCAGCGTTATCGGCCCATACACCCTTGAACAGCGCTTCAAAAACTGTTTGTTCCTCGACAGTTTGTTCGAAAGTTAATATATCCAATAACTTCAGCATCGCTGTTAAAGCTCTCTTAGCTAACATGCTTTGGACGACGTTGGTTCGATCCAAACAATCCACGCAGTTCGTCCTGAACACACCCGCTTGTAAGGATACCAGTGCCCCTTTCTTTAGAGCCATAAAGAATCCCATTTCGTCTTGATCGTGAGCCACGCGATCTATCAAAATAGACAACCTATCCCATCTCATCTTTCTGCATTCCGCGTGGAAGTCGAAAGGCTCATACCGAACCGATGCATTTCCGATACTGTTCACTGTATCTGCAAAAGCTTTCTCCAAATTACCCTCAGCCCCCTTCTGATCAACCAGATCGATCATCACCTGTCTACCATATTGAGAACTTACATCTTCTATATGCTTTGTGCAAGCCATTTGATGATCGGCTTTATTAATATCCAACAACCTCGGAGGAGGCTTGTACCTTAAATCTGGAGGTTGTACCCAGAATAAAGGTATGGATCCTCTAATTTGGACAAAGCTAGTATTAACATCTTGATACTCGACGATCTGCTCAGTTTCAACAAAGTTCGCAACATTTCCGTCTCGGTCGATGCCTCTTCGGAATAGTCTCGTGCCTGACCTTAAAACGCTCCTCCTAGACATAATAGCCCACGTAAAATTGTGACCATTCACGACGCAGCGATTAATGGACACAAATCCATGTATGATTGGTAAAGTAAAATTTTTGAAATCTGAATTTGCAAATCCTTTCAGAAAATGTTGATTCCAAACAAACCTCATATCAGCTCTTGATAGCAAAGATTGAGTACCAGACTCAGGCCCAAGCTTATGCAACCTCTGCATAGTATGAGAAATATCATAGCTGTAGCTAAAGTAAAAAGATGGTGTGTTCAGGACATTCTGGATCATACTAAGATATTTAGCATTATCCTCTAGTTGTTCAGAATTTATGTGTATTGTGCTCTTAGCATAAGGAATAAGTTTGGTTCCTGCTAGTTTCCAGATCAGATGACCATCAATGAATCCTATAAACTCACGTGCAGTTGCCAAAACTAAATATTTTCCAGCCAACAGCTGCACACTACCCAAGAATCCACAGAACTCCACAAGTGACTTATCAGCTGGGATTTGGTTAGATTTCTTCTCCACCACAGTTGCTTCTGACACACGATCAATAATTAGCAAGTCTTTCCCAATCTTAGGTTCTATATAGAACTTTTCTTGGGTGATGAATCTTATAAAAATAATAGACAATATTTTAGTATATACACTATTAATTATTTAATGAAAATACTTACAAGTTCATATCATCATAAATGTAGTGGTCCATTTTACTTGAATTTTAAGAAAATATAAATTAATACATTGGTTCAACATTCAAGGTTATAACAGCTTATAATAACATATTCCTTAGGATAGGAATTTGATAACAAATGACAACAAATCAAAATGGCTTTCACACTTACAATTCATACAGTTGTCAAAACTCAGTAACGCCAATAACACAACAACAAATTACTAACTAAATTTGATTAATGAATTAATTAATGATTAATTATTCTCTGACATTGGAACAAGTGTCTCAGAAAAGTTGTATATCATTCAATGAAATTAAGTATAATGACACAACAATTATAGCAGAGCTTGCAGTTGTTGCGAGTTTTATAAAGTGACGCAAGAAATTTCGTTATGGACTTATTTATTAATATTTATTTATTTTGGTTGGTAAAATTGGTAAATGACAGTTGCTAACCTTTAAATGTTTACATCTAATGATTTCAATAAGAAGTGTTAATAACAATAGTGATTGAAATTTTTTAGATGAATTTGGTGATGCTGTGCGAGGTGACTTTTTGATTATTTATGGAGAATGATGGCACGTTCAGATGCGCTCTGCAATCAGTCCTTGCTTGAAGCAGGAGAGAGGCCCATTGAGAGACCACTTGGTGAGCCTGGAGATGTGAAGACGCAATTCGTGACGAGGGAAGGCACCTACAGGTTGATGACTCTAAGTGAATATTCCAGGCCCAATAGGGTGGGTTATCAGCCACAGGGACAAACTCCTCCACAGGTTAGAGTCTCCTTGGTGTCATTACCAGAACAAGGTGAAAGGATATGTTTCAATCATGGACGAGAACTCTATGTGTATGTGTATAAAGGTATCAAGAAGGCAGCAGATTTAAGTAAACCTCTTGATAAGAAAGTGTATAAAGGTGCTAATCCAACATGCCATGATTTCAATGCAGCTTCAGCTAGTGCTGATAGTGTTAGTTTATTAATAGGATTTAGTACTGGACAGATACAATTAATAGATCCAATAAAGAAGGAACTGCATAAGTTGTTCAATGAGGAACGTTTGATTGACAAAACGCGCGTTACGTGTTTGAGATGGGTGCCTGGTAGTAAATCCCTATTTTTGGCTGCTCATGCTTCTGGACAACTTTATGTCTATAATGAAGAATTACCATGTGGTTCCACCGCTCCCCATTATCAACCATTTAAGGCAGGTGAGGGCTTCACAGTCAGCACTTGCAAGACCAAATCAACTAGAAATCCATTGTTCAGGTGGCTATTAGGGACAGGGGCTGCAATTAACGAACTTGCTTTTAGTCCTAGTGGTGCCCAATTAGCTGCAGTATCTCAGGATGGATTGTTGAGGGTGTTTCAGTATGATAGTATGGAATTGTTGGGTACAGCGCGGTCGTATTTCGGAGGTTTGCTGTGCGTGGCATGGTCTAGGGATGGGAAGCTGATTGCTGTTGGTGGGGAGGACGATTTAGTTACGGTGTGGTCAATAGACCATAAGAGGGTAATTGCGAGGGCGCAAGGTCACAGGTCGTGGGTGGCGGCGGTTGCTTTTGACTGGTATTTAGAAGCTGAATCGTATTATAGGATCGGATCTGTCGGTCACGACACGCAGCTGTGCCTATGGGAACTGCCTGAAGATGCATTATCTCCACCAAGGCCAAAGGTCAAGAGGCAACCTGACCCTTTACAGTTGGTCGGCACGCCTGGATGTCCACGTCTGATGGAATGTCATAACTTGGAACCTCTGGTCTGCAAGAAGGTCGCTCACGAAAGACTGACCTCACTCATATTCCAACCCGACTGCGTCATTACTGCTTGTCAGGATGGCTATGTCTATACCTGGGCTCGTCCACCCAGTTAGAATGAGGCTATCATGTATGTTATTAAGTATGGCGGGCATTTACATAGTTTGCTATGAGCAAATTGCCTTTTTTCTTCTATTTTCAAGTGTTCCTTAGGCAGATTTAGTTTTAACTTATATAAGTATAAATATTTAGGTTTTGTTTTTCAGGACTTTGAGCAGTATAATTATAAATAACAATTGTATAAATATATATAATTACTATGTGAGAGTAAAGATTGCATTACTCAGGATCATCCTCAAATACATATATTGTATTGTATATTTTTTTATGTATATAGCCTTATGTAAGACTTTTGTACATAATTTTCCTAGTTTCATAGACACTGCCAAATAATATTATTAAGAGTCATATTACGATTTAATCAAATTGATTTTAGTGTATTTTATGTATGTGATAATAAAATAATTATCTGTAATATTATCTTAATATCGACTGTAATTATTTATTGGAAACAAACTAAATAAAACTTACTTTCAATCCATTAATTGTAAAAAGGAAACTTATTTTCTTGCATGTTATAGAGTGTGCTCAAAATGAAAGATAGCACAATTGTACAATGTCTGATGTCGTATTTTTGTAAGTTTAATTAATAGTGAATTTGATCACTGTATAAAGAACTCTTGTAAATGGATAGATAGTTAGATATATCTTAGTTTTATACCGATTTGAGTTATTTGAACAGTATAATAACACGAAATATCCAATAAAATGTATTTAAACTTGAATGTATTTTTGAACTTTTGCTTTTTCTACCCATTTTGTAATGCATAGAGCATAAAGATACAGCTACTAGGAAAAGTTTATAAAGTACAAAATACCTATCGAGTTTTTAGATAAAATTTTATTTATATTTTTTGATATATATTATTTTAAATATATTGCACATAAAATATAATGTAAAATGTTTGGGATAAATCATAAATGTAAAAGCGAAACCATATCTTACTATAGCGCGCGCGAAGATGAATCATAAAAACATTTAGAAATGGTGAGCATCATTCTTCGAAATTTCCAATAAGGCACTGTGCAACTTTCCTGCGTCATTGAATCTGTCTATCCATGAGTCAATTAAACCAATTGGGCTAGATTCGTAATTTTTCAGCGTCACTTTTTCATCATTCAACACCATATTAGGTTGCGTGAACATTTTCCTTGGTCTCTTATTAGCCAGAACGATGTTCCTATAGTTGACCCAAGGTCCCTTCACATCGGTGAAATGCTTGAAAAGCTTCTGGGCTTCAGCAACGTTAGCGGTGGCCTTCAACACTTGCAGCTGCAAGAGGAAGTATCCGACGGCGTTTCGACCGGCCCCCTTAAAGCCAGTACGGTCCAAAGTGATCAACAGATCGTCATCTGCCGGTTGGCTAACCGTCACAACACCAGCTTGAATCAAAACGTTGGTTAAAGCAAAACGGGCCTGAAATATTCAAAAATATTATATGATATACTAGAATAATTATAGAAACAATATTTACTTGTGAGTGGGCTTGGAGCCAACCACGGTTGGGATCCCACATCTCCAAAGAATTCAATCCAGCCCAAACAAGGGACAACCAATTAACATACATGACATCGTCGCTTTCTTGCTCTCCTTCGTGTCCAAAGATCTTCAGAACGGAAGCATCTAAACTAAGATAGAGACCAACGGCTTCCGCGCGGCATTCTTCGTAGGCGGAACTCAAAGGACCGAACTTGCTGTCGTAAGTGTCGCCAGGTTCATAATGCGAAGAGATCGCATCCCCAGTCAACGGATTCAAAAGGGTAGGCGGATAGTTTACGGAACCGTCCTTCTCCTTGCGGAACAACTTTCCAGAGCCGTGACCCAGAAGCTCGTGCAAACCCACTTGTACTTCAAACGAAGGCACTCGGTATTTCTCCAACAATTTCTTGTCTTCTTCATTCAAAAAAGGAGTGTTGGACTGCTGGTAACTTGCTGGGATTACGTTACCCAGAGACACGTTCTTAAATCCTTCGGTTTGACGGATATCATCGTCTATAATTATTGATTTTTTTTATCAAATGTTGAATGTTAGGTGTTTATAAATTACGTACAGTTAGGAATGTTAATTCCAGCTGGAATTCCGCTTCCAGCGAAAGTGAGTACATCTAAGGAGGTAAAGTCTGGACGGAGGAATTTATCCTTTTCGAAGCCTTTGCTCCATGGCAAGAGAGGTAGTAGTTTCTCAGCGTTGTTCACGAGAACGGCAAACTTTTCAGACATTGGCCTGTTGACGGCGGACACGAAAGCTTCGAACTCGCCGCGAACCCCAGCTGGATCTCTGTAAGTCTCGATGAAACCTAAAACAACATCATTTTAATAAATGTATTCTACTAAATGTATATTTACCAATATAAGTTTCTACAGCTGGTGATTTGTCTTTAATCCATAACCTAGAGCCTTCTTTGTGGTCTTGGAGCGATCCAGAAACGAAGGAGCCCACGTACTTTTCCAACATTTGCGATTGGTTTTGATTGGCGGTATGCGGGATGGCATTCTTCAAATGCTGAGCGACAGTTCCCATAAGAGGAGAGTAATCTCCTTTTACTAAACGGTACTTAATCCCATCGACGACCTCATTCTCGATTTCTCCAACATTTTCGCCGGCCAACCTAATTTCGTACTCGACCTTTCCATCGGTTTCAGTTTTGAAGCAACGCGTGTTCCAGCATTCCAATCCTTTGCTCTTCATCCATTTCTCCACCTTGTCATCATCTTCCTGAGTACAGTTCTTGGAGAAATATGTGGTACAACCATGGGGAGGAAAACCAAGTACAGTGCGTCCAGGACTCAAATCATACAAGCTCTTGTTCAGCTGCTCCCAGATTGATTTCAACTCATCCCACACTGGACTTTGCTTAAGAACAACTTCAAATTTATCTTTTTCCAATCCAGGAATAATTTTTGAATCACCAAAACTCTATATACAAAATATAAAAATGTAATCAACTCAGAATAGATCAATTAAGGACCTACCTTGTAGTTTCCAGAATTACTAAATACTCCTGCAGTGTAAATTAAGAGAGCAGTCACCTCATCTTCAGTAAGACCAGCCTTCAAAGCACCAGCTTTCAAATCGGCTGGTTTTTGAGCAAGGAAAAGCTTGTGCAATAGAACAAAGAGTGGTGCAGATTCAGCACTGGTTTGTATCAAGGTGACTAAACCTCCAACCCATGAAGCCTGTGACAGATGGTAAGCATAAAGCTTCTCCTTCTCAGTGAGTCCATTGAAGGCAGCTGTAGCTTCCAAGTAAACAACTGGAGAATCGTTGGGTAAAATATGTTGGTTCTTGTCAACCTCTCCACTCATTCTGTTTCAACAAAATTAATTAATGTTCTATAAATAGATTGCAATTAAAGACTTACTTGGGTGTAAATAAAGCACAGTACAGCAACTGAGAACAGAAACAAACTGAATACGGATCAAACGAAAATGCAGGTTAATTTATAAGGTTAACTCAAGTGACGTTTGCATATGCATGTTGTGTATGCGCTATACTATTTTTTTTTTCGTTGCTTTGTTTTGTGATTAAATGGGAACTATTAATTGGAACGTTCAAATTATTATCAAATTACGATAAGAGATGTATATACTACATGTATACAAAATAAAGCAAAGATAAGAGAGTTATATTTAAGTTCTACAAAACAATGTAATCGACTTTGAAACAAAACAACCAAAAATTCCGCAACAAAGAAGTCCGTGATTATTCAAATTACACGATGATGCATTATTCACAAATGAATTGATTCATTTCAGATACTTGAAAAAATCTATTGTTCTTGAATCGATATTTTGGAGTCATAATTATAAAAATAAATATACAAGCTTCTTTTATAAGTATAGATAATAAAAACCACTTAATTATAAGGTGGAATTAAGTTATTTTCATAAAAAAACGAAGAGGATACAAAAGAATTACTTGGTGAATTAATATAGAACTGATATTTATTTCTTAATTCCTATTAAATAAAGAACTTTGAAGCATCTGATTTTTGTTTTCTGTTCTACTATAATATAATTTTAAATTATATTTCGACAAAATAGTTAAATTCTAATTTGTAATACAATATTAATATATGATTTTGGTATTAGAGGTACGGAAAATGTTATTTGACAACAAAATAATGTATTCTTAGTAGACAATGATCGAAAAACAATGACATGTTTATTTTTTACCATATAAACAAATATATTATTAACACGATTTTCTACTCACGTAAAACTTAAAATAATGAAAAAGGTTACTACTTTTGTGAAAGAAAGTTAAACATGATTTCGAGTTGTTATGAATGTTAATATTTTAATAATTGTTAAGAACATTTTGCTATTTACAAAATATTATTTCTATTTATGGAGAGCGGCCGTAGCCAGTAGCCGTGTGACTATGGATGCCTGTATCATTTAATTATGTTTGTAAATAAAGTTATTTTTGATTTTTTTTTGCCTGTAATTAATCTGATACGAAAGGTCGTTGGTTCAATTCCGAAAAACCAACAAAAATTTGTGGTGGCTGTTAAACCCGAAAGGGGTAGAAATAGGGCCGGAGAGATTTATATATTTCTATTTATATAATTATCATTTTTTACTGAATCCTTTTATTACGGGTGAATTTCAAGATCATAATGCATTGGATTTTTTAATTATGCGTGAGATTCGAAGTATTAAATCCATTTTAGAATAAACAATAACATTTATTGATATCTTAAGTTGGCATTTTGTTTATCTCTACATTTGAATGAAGACAAAAAAAAAGTTGGATGACGTATGGCAACATAGGAATAATTTTGTTAAATTTCGATCTGCATTTAAAGTTCTCAGATGAATATGGAAGCGCCAATTTATGATATCAAAATGTAATTTAGAATCCATGATGAAGGAGGCACATCAGAAAAATGTAAGTTTTTTTTTTGTAAAAATTGTATTTTTTTTTGCTAACAATTCGTGTGACCATTCGGCGATTCGGCTATCCGTCGCTCTTACATAATGTCACATAATATTTCCTTTCTATGACTAAACAGAACAGGCCAAAACACAATGTGATCCCGATACCGTCGATACAATTTGATTTTTGATTTCGATTACCACCGGGTTGTGGAGACTGGTGGAGACCTATGGTTATGAAAGAGGGTAACTATTTTAGGTAACAGTTTACCCCGTAAATTGACAAGTATGGTGTTCGTCGTCAAGTAAATTGGGTTTTCCAATTCGGTCACTCTACGTTTTAATCTTTCGACTTTCAATTTGAGACGTTTATCCTCTGTTTCTATATGTTCTAAGATCTCTTCCTCTGTGATTTCCTTATCTATATTTCTAATTATACCCTTTGATAAGACTAGGTGAGAGGGGATGTAAGCTTTAAGGCCTTCTTGGATGTAAATAGACGAGTTTAGAAAATTATTTGCTGATAAACTCTATTTCTTCCTCTACCGTCTATTTTAGTGACTTGTGCTATTTTATATTTAACAATCTTCCTGTCCATTTGTACTGGTTAGAGTTGAACCACAAAAGGGGCTATGTCTTGTAAGGAACCGGGGACCTGATTTCTTCTAATAATTTATTTATTAAAAGATCGTTCGTTCGATGAGTTTGTTCGATATCACTATCTTTTTTTTGTTTGAATCTTCGTACGATCCTTCTCGCACCAATGCTATTAAGTCTATATTACTTCACGAGAACTATATAACTAAAACTAAATTATACTAAAATTACTACGCTAGGCACTATCATCACTATCGAATCGAGTCTCCTCGTAACTGTTATTTTATTTTGTTACTTAAAATTTGAGGGGCCCCGCAAAAAAAAATTCAATCGGGCCTCGCACTCATTGGATCCGGCACTGCATGGAATCATTTCATCTATTTTCTATAACACTTTCTTTTGTAGGGATCAGATAATTGGATACAAGTGTATCTGTGGATAAAGAATGGAGAGCTTGGTGATTTTTACCATATGAACAGGAACATTCTGGTCTGCAAAATAAATCAAAATAGTCTTGCTAACAGGCATGCTAAAGATGGACATAGGATTACTAGAAAATTTACATTTTCTCAGATATTTCCACCTGATTCAACTCAACTAGACATATTTAATGCTGTTGTTAAACCGAGAATCTTTATTTTATGAATGGTGTAAAATGTACTCTTCTAACCTATGGACCCTCAGGATCAGGTAAATATTTAAAATAGGAGTTAGAGTTAGAAATCATAATCGAAGCATTTTAGGAAAGACCTCTACTATTGTTGGTTCTGGAACTGAACCAGGACTAATACCAAGAGCACTGGAATGTGTTTAAAACATTAGCCAAAATGCCTGTTGTACAGTTCAAAAGATTAACACATTCATGAGGTCAGGAAGAAGTTGATATTGGATATGAATGAATCGGATGTGAACGATGATGCACATAATATAATATTTATGGCTTGCAAATTATATATTTTATATATGAATTACGTCTACTTGATTTCTGTCAATGTACTGCATCTTCATCCTAAATACTGGAGTCAGGAGAATTATTGTTGGTATCACGTATAGTTTATCCACAGCTGTGTGATTTTATCATATTGACAAAAATAGGTATCAATGGAATTATTTTCAATATGAATTAAATCATTTCATTTCTTATTAATAATAAGTAATTCAGTAAACACAATACAATGTGTCATTGATTTATTTAGTCATGTTTTGATTTATTTGATAATTTTCTATCAAAAACAAATATTGTCATACTCATTTATTGCATCAGGGCAAACCTGGGGAGTGACATTTTATTAAAAAGTATCAATATATGAAGGTAATGTACATTAATAGAAGATATTTTTAAAATGTATTTTAATTATTACCATTTTCTAATCAGGAAAAAATATAATATAAAAAATGTGTATTTCTGCGATTTTAAATAAGATTTTTTATTTTATTTTTTATTTTGTTTCACATTATAATACAAAATAGTTTTCTTTTACAAAAAATTAAACTCTTGTAAAAGCGGAAAATCTATTTTACATTTTGATTTACAACAAATAACGAAGGAATGTATGTAAAATCGAATGTTTACCGAATCATTTTAATGCTACGAGCGGTTTGACATTCAATTCTTTGGATAATCGGTTGCAACTCTCGTGTTGATTGGGTAAGTACCTTACGCCTCCGAACTTATCGACGGCTTCCATATGTAGCCTCTCCGGATCTCCGGCAACAAGCACCGGTTTATCAACTTCGGCCTGAAAGCAGAATTGGATTAGTTGTGTCCAGCACTGAGGACGAAGAGAGAAATAAGCCAACCGGCGTCAGATTCCTTATGTAATTCATGAGGTCCGACATCCTGATTTCGAAGCCTGGAGCGAAACAGTTCGGATCGATCGCGATGAAGCACTGTCCCAGATCGGCCACTCTCGACGTGTTGCCCCATTTTCGGATGTTTGGACCGTAGGTGGATCCGCCTAGGATGCCGCAGAAGATCTCGACGAGCATACCCAGGCCGAATCCTTTGTATCCAGAATTAATTTCCTTGCCACCTAAGGGCATCAAACATCCGTTATCGCAGGCCATCTGTGCATCCGTTATTGTCGAACCGGACGGTCCGAGCGCCCATCCTTCCGGGATCGGTTCGTTCTTACGTCTTTGAATTTCAACCTGAAAGGAAAGAAGACGTATTAAGATTTACAGTTTTCACTCTAAAACGGCAATTCCTATAGAAAGAATTATGGAATTGACGCAGCGATAAATGAATAGAATTTGAAATAAGGATGTACGAGAAAAAGAGTTTGATAGATGTAATTTGCAATTTTAACGTTGTTTTAATTGTAAAATATATATTAATAAATATATATTAATATATATATGAAATTAGAATAAATTACAGTGATGGTTAAAATATATTGAGACAGCTTATTGAAATGTACCTTTCCAACTGCAACAGCAGTTGTTGCCATATCCAAGACGAAGCTGTCTCCGTCCTTGGCCGGGGCTCCAAGTGAGATGGGATTCGTTCCCAATACAGCCTGTAACAATTATTAAATACAGTTTACAGTTCTCGACTTTTCGAGTAGTTTCCGTACTTCCTTGCTCCGCGTTGGCGCCATGAATGGCGAAGTGTTCGTGAAAGACATGCCCAGAAGTCCATTGTTTATGGCTTGAAGGGAGTACATCCCAGCTATCCCGTAATGGTTTGAACCTGATAACGTTCGCACAATAATTATGCATCTTCTTCTCTCAAACTCCCGCATCCATTCAACACAACCCGAGAGTTACATACAACTCGTACATACAAGAAGTTTGTGCTTTTGCATCTAATATTAATGTGCTTCTGATTAAATCAGTGTGTACAAATTACCTTTGCACGAAACCCATCCGATGCCTACCTCCTTGGCCTTCTTCATCGCCAGATCCATGCAAAAGTTACCCACGACCGCACCCAAACCGTTGTTACCATCAACCCAGGCCGTGGCTGGACTTTCCTTGAGAATCGTCGGAGAAGCTCTAGCATCACAAACTCCAGCATTAATATCGTTCACATAAATTTCTGTAATAATTGCGAAGCTTAGTAGAGAAGTGTAAAATATAAAGACTCTCCCATTTTACCCAAACGGTTCATTCCGTGGCTGTAATGACCACGATAATCCGCCTCAATCAGGAGGTTGGCAAGAGCATCCGCGTGATTCTTGGGAGTCCCAACTGCTACCATGCAATCCACGATGAAACGTTTTCCCTCGTTCAACGGGATTACAGGCGTATCTATTTAACATGTTAAATATATAATTTTTGCATAATAATAGGTTTGGTAACACGAAAAACGTTTTATTGTGATCCATCCAAGGAGCATAAATCAAAATGATTTAGATTTGGGATACATAATATAATATACTTTCTGTATGTCTCCTGAAATTATGAAGAAACTCATAAAATATTTCCATCTTAAAGAATAATACTTTCGATTTGTCCAAGTAATCCAATAAAAACTACATCTTTTCATAAATATGAAAAATCGCCATCGTTAAATAACTATGATAAGAATAACAAAAACTAGGCTTACAATTAATTATAATAGATATGGAAAATATGCTGCTATTGCCACGAAGACATATACTGCAAGGCCATAATTATGGCAATTAGATTTAATTGCGAGAGACTTGGTAAATAGATAAATTAATTAAGTCTATTCTTAGGCTTTTAATGTATTAATTACTAAAGTAATCGAAAATACGGTTTTCTAAAAATAAAGTTTTTTTTATTTCAATTCGAGAATTCGTATGTTACTTGATAAATACAAGTTATTACGTGATTATTTTCTAACCATTAAACGCTTTATTTATGTATTTTACTACAATTATTTCACATATAGATATAAATTTTATAAAATCTTACAGTTTAGATGTTTATTTATAAGTATTGTATTTTGAAAAATATTAATAGAAGCAAAGAGTACTTACTGCACATTTGATAAGTAACAGACATAATGTATTTAACTGTTGGTTAAATTTTCAAACTTAATTTTATTAACAGTATTAACATATGACAATTAATATCAGCTGATTAAAAATGCGTAAATATATTCACAATACACAATTTAATACAACGATAAAATTGAAGCTGAGAACAATTGCACCGAAAATTGGAATTTTCAATTAAATAGTTTATTCTTTAATTATTTGTTTTTATTACAAACAAATAATTAAAGAATAAACTATAATATAATATAATTTAAAAAAAGTTTGAGTTATGCAACTTACAATGCATTCATAATGTTGTAAGGAATTATTCATGTTTTTTAAAACATAATTAATTAAAACAAATACAGGAATGTGTGAAATAGTATATACAAATATTATGTAACGTATTTTGAACCAAAAGACGTTTCCATTAATCCGGATGTTTACATACATGTTTCAGCCACCTTATCTTGCGAAGCGTAGTGATTTATGTAATCTAAGTGCGTTTGGGTCATACGTTTTTTTTAGAGATATATATTAATATATTCGATTAAATAATACTTTTAATATTTAACATTTTTAATAAGAAATTAATTAAATAAATTCGAGCAAAAGTTTAGTTGCAATTTATGATGATAGAAAAGTTGCATCAAATTAAAACTAAATATAGTTGATGAAGTTTTGACAATTGTAGAAACAAGTTTAATTATAACATACCGATATCCAATAATTTGGTTGCCATGTTGCTGCTATATCTAGCTAAGAAGAGGTTATTCACAAATGCAGAAACTTTGATATGCTTTTGAAAGAATCTGGAGGTGAACTGAGCGAGGATCGTTCCTGCGGTCGTCATATTATCGGATTGGCTCTATAAACAAAAAACTGAAATAAATGTAATGTCTGAGATAGCTGAACGTGGAAAGGTAGCAGTTAGTCTATTAGATAGTCAAGGTTACGTACTCGGTGCACTCTGTATAAACTAAACAAACACTCGCACATATATTACACATAACTCACATGATGCGATGCTTCCACCATGTTATTGTGTATATGCAGCAACATACAGGGGATTGTTATTGTCTGCAGGCGGGACCATTGAGTCGTAAAGTGCAATGCAATTTAATCAATTTAAGAGGTCTACGTCCATGTATTATTCATTCGCTCTTTAGAAACTAATTCAACATTTAAATTTCTTTTAGAAATCGTTTCCATGGCAATCAAACGACAAAACAATTTTATCTCAACCTGCCTCAATATTCATTAATTTAGAATACATAATAAAAAATGAAATCAATTATTAAAATGCATTAAAATGATTAAAATAAGAAAAAACTTATAAAATTTAACTTTTTAATATAAATGTTTATTAACGTTTTAGTGCTTCTTTCATTTGTATAGGTAATTATGCAATTTTGCTAAAATTCATTAAAATTATCAGCATTTCAGTTTGTCATTAACGTTAATATTATGTAATTATTATATTTTTTAAAAATAAATTTTATCTTATCTAAATACATGAGTTAGTTCTATATTACTTGATATCAATTGACAGGTGATGTATTTCAAGTTAAATAAAATATTATTAGAAGCTATTCTATTTAAAAATTAAATGTAGGAAAATGGGCAATGTATTTTCTTAGTTAGAAAATATTGTGTTTTTAACAACATTTTGACCGTTTGTTTATTAACATATTGACGATTGGAATTATGTCAAAATCATTAACCTTTTCAAGTTTATTGGTATCTGCAATCATTACTTTTTTTCTAATGTTTCGAACAACATATTTTTGGGAAATATTTGTATTAGAAGCGATTTCATTTATCAAGATAGCCTTTACAATTGCAAATAATTTTATTTACATTGTATTGAATGTTGAAAGAAATTCATTTTCTCTATTAATCAATGTAAAATTTGAGTATGATCACTTTTAAGTGTAATTAAATTAATATTGTAGGAACAATCAATATTGTGAGACAATCAATATCAGTAACTTTTATTTTGAAGTTATTGTGTATATAACGCAAAACACTAGTGTATATTGGGTTATATAAGTTATAAACTTGAACATTAGTTTATAACTTATATAATATTAATTCTTGGTGAAGATTATTGATTAGAACAGTAGAACATCGTTTAACGAGTACCTCGCAGAACGAGATAATCGTTTCACGAGCAGAACAAATTGTAACAAAAATTACTTGCTTAACAAGTGACGATTCGCATAACGAGGAGAAGAGAAGTCCCGGATTGTGCTGAACACAAGTTTAGAAAATGATGTAGCCATTTTAAAAACTTGTCTTCAGACATAATATGTGTACCATCTTCGATTTTTTTTTTTCAAATATAATTTGTTGCTCTAAAAAAACAAAAAAGTATTGTATCCAACGATTATTATAGAAGATGAAGAAACTATGTACACCTTTTTATCTAAACAAATATAAAAATTTTAAAGAGATCTCCTCAAAGACCCCAATATAGATCGATACAGGTAATATCAACAAATGGTGTCAGAGAAGACAAATAACTTTAGATATGAAAAGTAATTTCATATTTTTTTTGGCATGGAACGCTTACAGTATTTTATATTAATTTATGTGGGAAAATTGTTTCGCTTAACGAGTGTATTGCTGTACGAGTATGGAATCCTGGAACGGTATGCTCTTTAAGTGGGGTTCCATTGTATATTAATCTGAAAAACTGAACATCAAAACTAAAAGTAATGCTTTTGACATTTTTAGATTTCAAGTTGCAGGATAAAGTTATAATTTAAAGATTTGGATTATTTTTATAAATATAAATAAACAATTATCAATTCATTGGTATTTTCGACCGTGTTCAATATTTTTGGGATTCTGTCATTATTTTCTTTAATGTGAAAAATAAATTTATATTCTTTTTTAATTTGTTGTTAAAACAGTGTGAATTACTTATTTTAAGAGATATATGAGGAATGTAATTACTTTGAATTGGAGTGATGAATGTAATTCATGTTGCGACGTACAGGTCACGACCCATGGTTTGAAGGAAACCAAAGCGTATTATATTTATCAAGTAGGTCAGTGTCATATGGCAAGATACGCGTAATATTTGTAACTGAGTTTTTCAATTTCAATAATAGCAAGTAAAATCAGCGTTAAGTCTTTTCATTGTAATGGACTAAACATATTGTTTTTGGTATTAATTGCAGAGGTAAAGCCTTTATAATATCCGGGGTAAGTGTAACTCGCCCACTTCTTATTAAAATGTGTTAAGTTTGACACCGAAATTGTTTTTATGAATGAAAAAAAATATCGTTTCCATTGTCATAGGAGGCTGGATCGTAGATCTCTCGTGCACGGGCTTTGTAGACGATGATTATGTAACAGCAATACACCACAAAGTGTGGCTTATAAGTTCAGTCTCCCGACTCTGCTCTGAATTCGTGACACCTCTTCCTCTTTTCTCAGTCGCGGTTTCTCGCTTAGCAGAGTTCATCGGTACGTCACGCACCGCAATACACGTGCGTTTCGAACGCAAAAGAACCAATTCAGTTTGAAAAGCGTAATTCGTACTTACGCAACGATTGCCCACCTGGTGATTTTATTCGTCGGATGGATGCGATTGCCTTCGGAACGAACAGTGGAACGACTACAACTCTGATAATTTCACGATCCTTGCTATCCTAAAAATACTATTTTCCGATTGCCGAGTATTGTTGTTTTGATGTTGTCGAATGATCTATGACGCGCTCCTCCATTACCATCCTTCTGGATTGCTCTCCCATAGCATGCGTATCGCGTGATCCCGTGTGCATTTGAAAATACGAATTTTGTGTGTGAATATGGATATTATGGATTGTGCAGAAGGATTTTCTGCGTGATTCGCGCCTCGTTGAGGTTACACATCGGAACGAAACATCGGGCTCGGCGCAAGCGTGGATTAAATTGATTGGTAAGAAATATTTCTCCAATGACCCCTCCTTACCTCTGCACGCGAACTTCGTGTCGCCAAAAAAAGAAACTCTGCAATCAATTGCAAATAACATTACATGAATGGATTACCTATACAAATATCTTGCAAATGTAGACAATTTACATTCGCATCTCATATAATTGTATTCCGTTTACAGTGAGCTTAACATTACTGATAATATTTACACCAAATGTTTCAGTCTTGCCTTTATTTGTAGGTGTCACAACCTTACACATTTATTGTATACAAAATTATTCATTTCTTTAAATTTAAAATTCAAATAATTGCGCCCATGGATACCAAAGAGCGTTCATAGCAACCATGAGAAGACTTAATCGACTGCAGTGTCACTAGATTTTAGGTTATTTATATAAATGTTTGTATATATATATCTATTAAAGCTTTTCCATTATGGAGATAACATTTTTCGGAGACGAAGAATAATGTAAATGTTTATAATATCATTCAGGATAATTGTGTAAGTATCATGAAATGAAAATGAAATAATTTTGCAAATGATCACGCAAAGTTTAGGAAATTTTCTGCAATTCGCGGATGATTATGAATATTAATAATAATCATGATTTAAATCGGTATATTTGTCTTTAAGTTTTACCTTAAACATTCTATTCTAAAAATACAATTTTATTATTTTATAATAATTATATGGCGAGTATTACTAGATGGTGTTTACTATTCTATTTTCTTGCTTTATTGTCTCGTGTTTGCAACGAAAACCAAATTGTGGTCTGGAATCGGTTTATTAACGCTGTTATAGGGTGCAATCAGTAAGCAAGAGGTTTTTCAGATATTTCTGACAATATATGATTCGATGATTTGGCAGGTTTAGGTATTATTTTATTTAGCTACTTATATAAAACATTTCGCTATTGGTAAAAAATACAACAGTTCTTAGAAATTGCAATAGGAAATTGTTTGCTTATTTTGATGGGCTAAGATAATTGTTAATACGGCGAAGAAATGGGAAGTAAATAATTAAACATAGAAAACATTACTTTTTGCCTATACCTAGTTTAAATCTAGGTACTTTATTTTGCTATTAAATATTATTTATTGATGTACGTAAAGCTGTGGTTAAATTTCAATTCAGTATTAGTTTTAGAGCTTCTTGCGGATCAATGTTACATTTTATTGTTACGCTGCAAACAATAAAATTTCTTCGTAGAATTCGATTCCATTAACATCAAATTGAGATTTATCTTTATTAAAATGTAATTTCTGAGTCCTTGTATTGGCTCAATATTTAAAACTTTTTGACTTTGCGGAAGCAGATTTTTACATTCACAACATTCACAATTCTTTTCAAAATCTAGTAATTAACTTTTAATTTGTCGTCACTGTAAAATGCCTGAATATATTAGATTGTATAATAAGTTCCAGCGTTTTTTGTATTTTTTTTTCTTGCAATTTTGTGTTTGTAAAAATACATGTTAAGTTTTACACATTTATTAATTTAATTTAAATTAAAACTACTCAAAATAAAATGTTGTCTCTATTATATAAAATATATGTAACATAAAATAAACTAAGTAATAACTAAATGTTTGAACCTGATGCTTTAATAATAAATTATCAACATTTCGCGTCAATTTTGTAAGGTTTAATCTTAAATCTTTTCGTATAATGATGTCCAGACTGTTTCTTTTTTTCTTTAGGAGATTGGTAACAGCGTTGAACCCCCTTTCCACTAGGTATGACGATGGAAAGGAAATTAAAAATTTCCTCGCTATATTCCATAATAAGGGATAAGTAACGGAACGGGTATGTTGTTTTGCAGCCAGAATTGCTGATATCCGTTTTTAAACTGAACCTTAAGTTCTTCGTTTGTACTTAGTTCAGTTAGTTCCTCTTATATAATGACATTCGTTTCTTCTATGTCACCATATGGGTTAATTATCCACGGTGGTATTACCATAGTCAAAACGTCCTCAAACCTAGTTTCTAAATCTGAATAGAGGGCATTTAAATGTTTAACGTAGGTTGTTGAAACGTCGTCTTCCTTGTCTGACAAATTGGGGAACTGGGAAAATTCGCCTCGTCCAATATTTTGCTTCATTAGTTTAACTCTGGTAAGAAACGCTGATAAGATGGACTTTGTTTTAATCAAATTTAGACTTTAACCTTTAATTTGGAAACAAATCTGTTAAATAGGCGATGTAAATTGTCTTTTAAAATTTTATCTTTAGTATGCAAAATATCTTGTCAAACATAAGCCTTTCGACAGCCAGCGGACTACAGTGTGAAGGAGTAATTGATGAAAGTGTTCGTCATTTTTTTCACACAACTGCGCAAATAACCGCGTATTCAATGCGTTGCTTCGGATTCGGTTTATTGCATCAATTGAAGAGATTCATACAATCTAACACTCAAATTTTTAGCAACTAAATAATGTATATTTCTTTATATTATAAGATAGTATAATGTAAGTAAATAGGTACTATCAGTGTATGTTGAGATCCACTATCGTGGACCCCCATTTTTATTTCATGGACCCCCAATTTTTTTTTTCGCTGACCTAGACCCCTCGCAGGTTGTCATAGACCCCTGGGTGTCGATATAGACCACTTTGGGAATCACTGGTTTACACGATGAAGTTGGGCGAGATAGTTTTCCATGCCGAGACTTCTCCAGTATTTCCCAGTAGATCACATCTTCATACTCTCACCAGACTCAGATCATTGTCTTCTTCGAATAGAGATCTTAATGTCCATTTTTGAACTTGGAAAATCAATTTTGAGCGTTTCTCTGAGCTACGTCACAAATATCGCGAGTTTCTTCCGTAGATTTTCTTGATCACGACGAAACACGAAATTGAGCAGATGTCGAAAATGACTTTTTACCTCCTGCAACTTCCATTTCAAAAGTGTGAAAATTGATTAAAGTAAATTAATTCGGAAAATTGAAGCAGATATGTTTGTAGAGTAAGAAGAAGACTTGCAAATGCATATATATAATTTACCTAATAAAACACAAAATTGTGGGAAAAAATAAAATACGAAAAACGCGAGAACTTATTTTACAACCTAATATATATTTATTCATCTAAGCAGTTTGTTTCATTTAATATTCTCGATAAGATATCTGATCCCCCATACATACTAAGGAGCGACAAAGTCTTTGATTTGTATTCCTGATGGCTTATCTACATCTCCGAAAACGTTCTATCTATTCAACAGCAATAGATGAGTCTAGTGTATTGCAGATACGTACTTATTGTGTATATATCTGCCATTAATATTTATACGGCAATTGTTGTAATAAGCACGAGAGATTATTATTATTCCTACTGTGCAATGCTACCATCTCCATCGTCATTTCGTCTCTGCTCGTTTTGCAACGCCCGTTTCCATGCAGATTTCAATGCGTCCCGTGCATTTTGTAGCTTCCTGTTGCTATTACGTATCATTATAAGAACACAATGCGCCATAAATACCGGCCTCTGTCGAGATTCGATCGTGTTTCGCAATTTTTTACACATTTTCCACGATAATTTATCAACCCGGATCTGGATTTCCTTCTTGATAAAATTATCACTGAAAATTATATTTGTAGATAATACTATGGGAAAATGAAAGATTACGATATTTGTGTTTTCTGATAAATTTCAAATAATGACATTTGAATATTTTCGACGGAGTAGCATTGCACATTTGTCCTGCAGAATTTAAAAAATGTCCCACTTGCATGTGCAATGTGAAAATGCAATGATATTTTGAATAAATTACTCAAATGCGAAATATATGTTTACACATGATTATGTTAAAAATTGTAGTTTTTTTTAACTACTTTTTAACTTTAATTCGCGTTTGACGAAAAGCAATAAATTTAAATGTATTGAATATGGATTTTAAAGAATTAACTACGAGAATAGAGAATAGAAGAATAAAAGGGAAATTTGAATAAATTTATTATAATAATATAATTCAAATAATATATTTGCAAATAATTTTCTAAAAATAGTGTCTTTACATATTAGAAATTCTTCATATTTTTTGGAAATTGGAAATAATAATTTAAGAAATAAATTTTGATTGTGTGTTGTCGCTGAATAAAAAGTGGGTACTATAAATTTTTCTTAGAATTTTTAAACAAAGAAAAACATATGAGTGTTATTTGAAGAGAAGAACTGTATTATAAAGGAGACAATTGTGATGATACAAGTCGTTTTTAAAACGGACGATAACGTTCGGAATTCGCGTGCTCCCACCAACAAAGGAAGACATTCAACACGGACAGCTGGTTTTCTTCAGAAAGAAACCTTATTTCGTTCTAGCCGTAATCTAATTAGTACTCGGCATTACGTTACGTTTCGTTATCTTCACGAAGCGCTAACGAAAGCCAGACGGACTGCTCCACCAAAGGGGACACCCTTGCAACAATCATCTGCATCTGTTCACCAAGAAAGTGCGCGGTGTGCGAACGAATGCCAGGTTTCGGATAATCCAAATGGAATCACTTGCTGAGAGTAAGACAAATACAATTATAATATGATTTGCAACATATCAACTTCGATTTCATTGATATCTTCTTCTTCTTCTTGTGCCTTCAATACAAAATAAAGCGATATCAATTATTCAATGTTCATGACACAATGTCGGAGTCGATAAATGGGATGTTGTAATTTCTTATTTTACTTCTTGAATGAAGGAGAAATAAACAAAGAAACGGGAAATCGTAACTGCATTCATTTGCAATTCAAAACAACACGTATTAATTAAAATGAAATAATAAAACATCAAACGCTTGAAGCTATTTTAATGAGATTCAATCATGTTATACTTAAACAACATTAAAGTACATCTTGTAAAAAAAGTGTATGGCATTCGGAATTAATGTTATTTCTATTATCGTAATCTAAATTGGAATTTCAGGAGTTTTTTAGTAGGAGGAAACGCATTAAATTTTTAATTAGTTCATTAAATTATATACTTGAGTTAAAAAGTTTTTTAATT